AGCAGCTTTCCAAAATGAGGTCAGGTTTTTTCCAACCACCATAACGGCTGAGATTTCCTCCCAGGGTATGTCAAAAGGACAAGAAGAGTTCCTGCGTCATCGTTCACAGCTTTGTCAACGTCCTCAATCGTTCCGAGGTCTAGGCGCCAAAGGATTGTGGATGCTTTTTTTAGCTTTGAACTTATCGCAGTTTGTCTTCCGATGGTTCCTTTTATAAGGTTTTTGTTTTCCTCTGGAGGTAGGAATCTGAAAAAGTATCATCGTATGGTAAGAGAAGGAGTATTTCTGTAGAGTTCCTCAGAAGAGTTCCTGCGACATCGTTCACACCTTTGTCAACGTCCTCAATCGTACCGAGGTCTATGCGCCAAGGTTTTGAATGCTGTTTTAGCTTTGAACTTATCCCAGTTTGTCGTTCGAGATTTCCTAGCATTCTTCCTAAAGGATGCCAGGTTTTTTTCAACCACCATAATGGCAGTGATTTCCTCCCAGGGTATGTCAAAAGAACAAGGAGCCTTATAGCTTCTCAGAAAAGTCCTTGTGATATGGTTGAGAGTTTTCTCAACGTCCTCAATCGTTACGAGGTCTATGCGCCAAACGGTTGTGGAAGCTTTTTTAGCTTTGAACTTATCTAGTTTGTCTTCCGATGGTTCCTTTTATAAGGTTTCTGCTTTCCTCTGGAGGTAGGCATCTGAAAAAGTATCATCCTATGGTAAGAGAAGGAGTATTTTTGACACTTTCAATGACTCTCACTCTATTTACGAACTTTGCTTTGTTGGCCCTATTGCATATTCTAAGATTATATCTAAGTATAAAATCAAATATGGACTCAGCTATTGGATTGGTGTCACTGCTACCACAAAGTGAAGTGATGAGCATTGATATCACATCCAATGACTAGGTCACCAATCCTGCTCCATAGCCTCCATAAGGTTGTGTACATCCGGTCCGGCTGGGTTAGGAGCCTCATACGGGGGATAGACGACATCTATCCCTATCTAGTCTGGCTGAAATTCGAAAGAATCCTTAGATTTATTTTGTTTCTAGCTACAGATACAGATTCGTATCTTCTCTCCTATGGAGGCGGTAAAAACCAAGTAGTTTTTGTCGCTCAAGTAAGTCACATTATCTTTGTAGAGATATGGTCCGTGGATGAGGAGAAAATGGTGAGGAGCACTTCAGCAGCTGTTGCTTTACAATGATGCAGTTTTACCTGGCGGGAGGCGAAATTGTAGTTTCCCCATCCCATGAAACAGCTCACCCTTGATCCGCATTAGGTATTGTTCACCAACAGTGTGGGCGAGGTACCAGAAGGAGTATATCGATGGGTCCCATTTTCGAACTAGATTTGGTAAAAATATTACTATGTTCAAAGTTTAATTGAAATTGGATAATAAATTCGCTGCTGGTGGGGCATATCATAACATGACCTAGCCAACGTAGTCCCTGAAGCTCAATACGTCGATGTCCGAGAATAGCTGGTACAACTCATGCTTCATTCGACGGCGATATTCACCATCAACGCATATCGCCCCATAGATCTTTCGGAGAATTTTTCTCTCAAACACTCCAATAGCTGCCTCATCTACTTGCGCATGTACCCATGCTTCAGATCCATATAACAGCACGGGTAGTATCAGCGTCTTGTAGAGAGTGGGTTTGGTCTGGCGGGAGGTGGCCTTGCTTTTGAGTTGTTTGCTCAGACCATAGTAGCATCTGTTGGCCATCACTATCCTTCTCCGAATTTCAAAACTGATGTCATTCGTTTTGTTTACGGCGGTACCAAGTTATATAAAATCTTTAACTACCTTGAAGCTGTAGTTGTCAAGTTCCACAGTTGGTCCGACTCTACTGGACGTCTACTGGCGCGTTGATACCATCAGTTTGGTCTTCTCGCCGTTTACTGCCAGACTCCTTCTCAATTTGTTCAAAGATGGCTGTTAGCGCTCTCAATGTTGACTCATTATTTCGTAGCAAAGAGTATATGGCCTCATAACCACCAAAGGCCGAGGGTAAAATGAGACAGAGAACGGAGGTTTTGAAAAAACTCAATTTTTTTAATTCAACTCAAATTTATTTTGCCCAAATTTTTTAAAGATCCTTTTTTTTGTTATGGCTGCCTCTATCTGGCACAAAATCTATTAAAATTATTATTCAATATTTTTTTTAATCTATATAGGGTCCTCATAGGCCATTCTTGGCAGGCAATAAAACACAAGCCACAACTGTGGCATGTATGTATGTAGTTAACTATATATGTAGCTATCCATAACTACCCCCAATCCCTCCCAAATCCAAAAAGTAAAACACCAATATACAATTAGTATTAAATTCGAATTAAAAAATATATATATCCAAATAAGCCTATAAATAGTTTTAATTCTCTTATATTTTTTCATCTAAAAAAACACAGAAGTAGATGCTAAATAAACAATTAATTAATTAAAAATTAAGCCAATTTTTTATAGCAAAACTACTTTTAACAAATAATAATAATCATAAAACTATCAATAGCAAAATGGCCTAGCTATACAAGAAAAAAAAAAACTATGTAAAAACACCAAAAAACAACAACTACAACACAAAACAATTAAAACAGCAGGATGAAACACATATTAGTTCCAAGCCAAACAAAACACATACACACAAACTCTCTTATACAACAAACAATCTACATCAGGGTTGGGCAGAAGCAGTTGTTTTGGCCTCTTTGGCACAGAAATAACTGTCAAGGAGAGCACGCATGCGGGAGTTTGCCTGATGCAGTTATTGCACTCTCTGGCTCTCTCTCTCTCTGGATAAATGCAGTTATCAACTACTATTAACAAATACACATACATATATACAAACTGACACTTAATTGTACAATAATTATTTGTACATTTCAAAAAATTTAATTTTTAAAAAAATAATTTTCAAATTTATAAAAATTAATTATAATAACAACAACAATCTCCATGCAATGCAAATTAAATGCAACAGCAAAAGAAAATTAAGAAAAAAAAAACTAAATGCTACAGAAAACTAACTAAAAGAAATTATAAAGAATCTAAGTAGAAAAAAGAAAGAAAAGACAAAAACAACAAAAGAAACTAATAAAAAGAAATCAACATAACTCTTATCTTTGGGAATCCATTTATTTAATAATAGTTATGCCTTACAAAGAGCGTAGGGGATGATAGATACCAAGCAACGGCTCCGATTGGCTTTAATATGGCGAATTCCAGGCTCATCTTGGTCCCTCTTTCATCTCAATTGTGGTCACTGACTTCCTCGCGGTACCACCTGGGGTAGCTATTTTCATCACCCGATGAAATAATGAGTTAATATGTGCCGCGAGTTCACCCATAAGAACTATAAATAAATGGGTTGAGGATGTACTCAAGAAGTACAAAGCCGATATTATTGCCTTACAGGAAATGCGATGGAAAGGGACTGGCGTAAGTAAATCAGATGACTACGCCCTATATTTTCGGCTGCCAAACCGAAGCCATTGGTACAGGCACATCCTCCTGTTGAGATAAATAAGGAAACCTGGTGACAGATACAGATATTGTGCTGAGGATCTGTAAGGGGCATTTTGAAAAACTTCTGGTATCAAATAGTAGCGGTGAAGAGGATACCTCAGAACCAATAATATATGACGGCATAGAGTGTATACCACCTAGCCAAGATGAAGTCAGAATAGCAATCAATCGGCTGAAGAATAATAAAACAGCAGGTGCCGATGGGTTACAGCCGAACTATTCAAGACTGGTGGTCAGATGCTGGTCAGGAGCATACACCAGCTGATAAGTACAATTTGGCTAGATGAATGCATGCCCAATGATTGGGACCTCAGCATACTGTGTCCCGTAACCAAAAAAGGAGACAAGACGATATGTGCCAACTATAGAGGAATAAAAGTGTAAACACATACGACTATTCAGGCTTGTCCTGTTAATTTGGCTTTGTGCATATTGTCAATATATAAAGGAATATCAGATTTGAATTTGGACGACTTTATTGTAAAAGAATAAAGGAGGTTCTTTTACAATAAAGGAAGCCAACGTAACATGCCAAGCCTGAAAGTCCTCTTATGTGTTCCCCCTTAAGTCTCTTTCCCATTGTGCGTGCTGTGTGAACGACTGAAGTCAATGACATTATTGGACCATACCAATGTATCTTCAGGCCTGGCAAATTCACCATTGACCATGTTTTTTATATTTTTTTAACTTCAAATTTTCTGTGATGTGCCGTAAAGTGCATTTAAGCCCCTTCTTTTCTGTACCTTACGTTGGCTACAATCTTACTCTTATGTGTTTATTTTTAATTTATATTAATATTTAATTAAAATAATCACAAAATTATTATTCTATATTTTATATTTAAACTTTATTTTTCTGCGTTACGTTACGTTGCTGCAATAACTACAATGCAGATAGCTGTCAGACAGCCTCGTTCTGTGCGTTACGTTAAGACTACAATCTTGTCTCATAAAATAATCACAAAATATTATATTAATTATTTTATTCTATATTTATTTATAATAATCTAAAAAACAAATTATTTCTGTTTTCTTTCCTATACGTTACGTTACTGCAATAACTGTAATGCAGCTAGCTGTCAGACAGCTTCTCTCTCTACTCTCATGACATATGTCATTGTGTGTGGCAAAACAATGCACGTCGGCAACTCTATGCAACTACCCCGATGAGAAGAAAAGTGTAATAGTTTTCATTCATTTTTATTTAATTAAAAATGTGTGACGTGCTCGTTTCGGTTGCTTAAAACTTTGATAAAAACCAACGCGGGAAGATCGTTAATTAGTGATAAGATAAATCTGTGTGTTACCATAAGGGTAACATTACAAAAAACCGAAAAAACGTCGTGACTAAATCCATAAGCAATTTGACCTAAATCCAAAAAACAACAACATACAAATTGAGGTTATGTTGTTAGAAAATTAAGAAAGTAGTCTAATTTTTTTGTTGAAAGGAAGAAAAAACGTATTCATTAAAATGAAATTAATGCAAATTGCATTAATTTTATGTTGTGCTTTAGCAGCATTTAATTTCGCTGCGGGTGCTGCCTCATTTGAGGACAATGACTTTGCAGAATTTGAAGATTTCGATAGTGATGATGATTTTGTAGAGGTACCAGTGACCGGGGCAGGAGCTCCTGCTGCTGCTGCATCTAAAGATTTGCCAACGAAAGAAAAGGAACCCGTTGTTGCCAAGGCAACACCACAAATGCAGGACGATGAAGAAGATGGCATTGTGGAGGATGAAGATGAATTCTTCAAAGATGATGAAGAGTTTGAGGGTTTCGATGCGGGTGAGATAAAAGAGGAAGTGGGCAAAAAACCAGCTGAGCCCAAATTGACAGTGGCCAAGATACCCATGCATTTCAGGTGAGATTTGTGATTTGTTTAAAAAATTTGAGATTTTTAATTTGTTTTTTATTTCCCCCCTAGAACCCATTGGGATTCCTATTGGATGGAAATGTTAATGCTGGCCGGTCTCATGGTCTATTTCACCAATTTCTTTGCTGGCAAAGCCAAGAATGCCAAATTGGCCCATTTGTGGTTGAACACCCACAAAGGCCTGCTGGACGATAATTTCGTGCTGGTCGGTGATGATGGCAAGGTGGAAAATGAAAATCCTGGTCTCATGAAAGAGAGTGAAAGTCTCTACACTTTGTGGTGTTCTGGTCGCACCTGCTGCGAAGGCATGTTGGTCGAACTGAAAATGATCAAGCGGCAAGATTTGGTGTCGCTTGTGGCGGGACTAATGCGCCCTCAACAAGATCAAGTCCATATTAAAGTTGATTTGACACGTGGTGTCATGGACCCATTTGTATTCTGTGTGGGTACAAAGAAAACGATAACTAAGGCCTTTAAAGAATATGCCGATTTGGTAAGGCACACAAAAATTACAAATTATAGAGACTTTTTAAAATATTTTTTTTCTATTGCAGAGCAAATATTGTACTCTAGTCAGTAAACCAGAGACACGTTATAATGTCCCAGCTGGTTTTAGTGTATTATCGGAAATTCCCGAAGCCACATCTGCCATATTGGAGAACCGTATTATCACGGCCCTCAGTAGATACCAACAATATATAGATTATATTCATATCTCGGATCAATATAGTGGTCCCGTACAAGTCGAAGATGCCAATAATTTGAAACAACCCGAAACCAAACCAGTACTTATGGCTGGATTTAATTTACCCAAAAATGGTGATATGGAGGCTGTTAAACCACTGTTGATACTCATATTTTATTTAATGGAACGTTTGAAGGGTTATCGCTTATCGAAGGAGGTAATAAGACACAATGAAATTTAAATTAAAAAAATATTAATTCTTCTCTTTTTAGGGTCAACAAAAAGCCGAAAAGAATCGCAGCCGTGTTGAGGAAGAATTCCTAAAGAGCACCCATGCTGCCCGTGCCGAGGCAGCCGCCCAGCGTCGTGAAGATAAACGCAAGGCCGAAAAGGAACGCATCATGGCCGAGGATGATCCCGAAAAGCAACGCCGCTGGGAAGCCAAGGAACAAAAACGTCAAGCCAAAAAGAAGGCCCCCAAAATGAAACGTTTGGCTGTCAAATCCCTTTAATTTAGGAGAAATCAGAAACAGAAATTTACTTTCAAAAGCCAATTTTATTCTTCAATCATTTTTTCATTTGTCATAGAAATGTATACAATTTGTCGGTTTTAGTTTGGTAGCTTTATTAAGTAAAGAGAAAGACAAAAATGGCCGGCGGATATTTATAGATTTAAAAACAAAAACGAATTAACTTCTTAATTTATATAAAGGGATGCTAGAGAAAATGCAATATTATTATTATTTCCATTTGGCCAATCAATAAATGTGTATTTAATTTAAAGAATTTATGTGTGTGCGTTTAACATTTTGTGGGAAAGCAATTTTCATTGGACATATAGGCAATGTGGTTACGTAGAGTTTTAATTTGTTTTTGGGCTGCATCAAAACTATACGATAAACTATTCAGTTGGCCCTGCATTTCACGTATAACACATTCACGATCGTTAACGGATATGCTAGCCTTGGCTCGACATTGGGCCAATTGTTTTTCCACACAATCGATGTGATGTTGTTGCTGTTGTTTTATCAATTCAAAACGTTCCGTCATACGTGCTATAATTTTAGCCGATTCTGTACGCAAACAATTTAAATCTTCCTGGGCAACATTCAATCTCTCACAGAAGAGATCGCGTTGACGTTGAATTTCTTCGAGAGATTTTTTTGATTTTTCCAATTCCTGTTGACATTTTTCTAACTGGGGTCGGCAATCTTCAACTGGTCCAGTACCAGAGGTATGAGATTTATTCTTGTGTGCCTTTAACTCCTTGCACACAATTAACAGTTTACTTTCCAACTCCTCCTTTTCTTTGCACAGCTTTGCCACTTTGATCTGTTCATTTTCCAGCAGTTTTGGAAATTTCACCAACTCATTCAATTTCTCTTGAAATTTACAGCGTATATCCTTAATTTCTAAATTGATTTGTTTTTCAATACGCTTATTGTTCATATTGAGTTTTTCTATCAGTGCCCCCTGCTCTTCGACCTTCTGCTGGGCCTTCAAATATTTATTGCGATAATCATCTAATTGCACGGATTGTTCCTTCATTAGACATTTGAATTCGATTTGTTCTTCCTTCAAGTCGTTAATGCGTTTGGTTAACAAATGAATTTCCGATGAATCGGCATTTTCACCTGCGGAGCCACAGGAATTTTTGACTCTGGATTGAAATTAAAAGCAGACAGATTTTTTTTTAAAGAAGATTTTTTGAAGGACTAAAAGAGCCTTAGGCGTGGATTTTTTAAAGAAGATTTTTTGAAGGACTAAAAGAGCCTTAGGCGTGGATTTTTTAAAGAAGATTTTTGAAGGACTAAAAGAGCCTTAGGCGTGGATTTTTTAAAGAAGATTTTTTGAAGGACTAAAAGAGCCTTAGGCGTGGATTTTTTAAAGATTTTTTGAAGGACTAAAATAGCCTTAGGCGTGGATTTTTTAAAGATTTTTTGAAGGACTAAAAGAGCCTTAGGCGTGAATTTTTAAAGAAGATTTTTTGAAGCCTTAGAGCCTTAGTGGATTTTTTTAAAGAAGATTTTTTTTTAAAGATTTTTTGAGGACTAGGCGTGAGAAAGAAGATTTTTTGAAGGACTAAAAGAGCCTTAGGCGTGGATTTTTTAAAGATTTTTTGAAGGACTAAAATAGCCTTAGGCGTGGATTTTTTGAAGGACTAAAAGAGCCTTAGGAATGGATTTTTTTAAAAGATTTTTTTAATATTTTTAAGGCGTGGATTTTTTTTTAAATTTTTTTTTTCAATTCGTGGATTTTTTAAAAAATATTTTTTCGAAGCGTGGATTTTTTTTAAAAAATATTTTTTCGAGGCGTGGATTTTTTTTAAAAATATTTTTAAAGGCGTGGATTTTTTAAAAAATATTTTTTAAGGGCGTGGATTTAAAAAAAATATTTTTAAGGGCGTGGATTTAAAAAAATATTTTTAAGGGCGTGGATTAAAAAAATATTTTTAAGGGCGTGGATTAAAAAAATTTAAAGCGTGGATTAAAAAACAAATTTTAAGGCGTGGATTAAAAAATTTCAGGGCGTTTTTTTTTTTTTTTTTTTTAAATATTAAAAAAAAAGTTTTTTAAGGCGTGGATTTTTTAAAGATTTTTTTTTTGCAAAATATTAAAAGGAACAAATCGCAAAATTTACCTCTTTGTCAACTCGTTCAATTCCTTTTCCTTTTTACCAAACTCCTGCAGCAGATAGGCATACCTATCCTTGAGGTTGTCGAAATTTTGACTTCTTGGCGATTGACATGGTGTTTTTGTACAGCATCCCTTCTTCGATGATTTATTCCCGTTACGATGTTGGCAAATTTCCTCCTTTAGGCTATCCATTGTTGCCTGCATGGTTTTCAATTTCTCTTTCAGAACATCCATATCATTTGTATCCTTGAGATTCGATTTTGTTTTACACGGTGGTTTATGTTTAGGTTTTGCATTCGAACAACTGTTGTAACTCTGTAGGGTGGCTAGAATTTCATTCATCAGCTTTTGATCTTCGGATTCACAACGATCCGCATCATCTTCATATGAACAGGATTTTTCACTTGTTGTTGTATCACCCCCCGAAGCACGCCAACGCCGGCATACTGGTGGCTCACGTTTAACACTGCATGTTTGTGGGCGTGACTCCTCCTGCATTGCATCACAGCAATGCATTGGCATGGACAACATGGGTTCCTCATCGAATGTCGTCACCAATTCAATTTCCCGATAATGTCGATGGGAGCCATAATTTTGTAAATGCATTGCCCTGTTTGTTAGGTCACGCAACTTAAGGGTTTCCCTCTCCATGCACTCTTTAAGAGCGCACAATTGTTTCTTCTCCTCCGGGGAGAGGCGACTCTCCGTCTTCGTCATCGATTTTTTGCATTGTAATTTTCGTATCTCATTTTTAATATCTTCGATTGTGACATTCTGACAGTGAATCTCTTTTTGCAGTCGCTTGTATTCCTTGTAATTTCGTGCCCTTTCCGGATCATCCGCAGATGAACCCATTAAAGGTTCATCTGGTTCAGAATCGTCATCTTCTAGGGTGTATTGCTCTTCTGGGCCATTTTCAAATGTTTCGATTTGATTTTCATCGTCTGTATTCGCAATTGTTGCATCGTTTGCCATTTGATCTTCTTCGCTGGCCATTTTCTTTCGGTTTTTTTAATTTAAAATTTTTAAAAAATTACTAAAAAATTTGGATTTTTTTTTCAAACTTTTCTTCATAAAATGCTAGGAATTTGCAACTTTTTTATCAAAAATTTGACTTAAATTTCTCAGGTTGTAATGGAAAAAATACTTGTTGAAAAAAACAAGTAGAAAAATATTCTTCATAAAATATATTAAAAAAAATATTTTTGTTAAATTTTACAAAAACGAAAAAAAATAAAAACTATTTTTTAAATTGGCGCGGATTTGTTATGGGATATAGGCGTTAATTTTTTGTTTAATAGGCGTGGATGTTGGGTGACGTAGGGGATGATAGATACCAAGCAACGGCTATGATTGGCTTTACCATACCGAAGTCCAGGCTTATCTTGGTCCCTTTTTCATCTCAATTATGGACACTGACCTCCCCGCGGTGTCACCTGGGATAACTATTTTCATCATCCATTGAAATAGTGAGCTAATATGTGCCGCGAGTTCATCCATAAAAAAATGGGTTGAGGTGGCGTTGGGTTAGTTGCCCACACTCGGAAAACTCCTCCTACTATGAAAAAGCAAAAAAAAAAACCCCAAACCCACCTAATGTTGACGGCCCCCGCAAACGTATAAAGGACCACGATCTGCGAATCTGCACTTGGAATGAGCGCACATTTGTAGAGAACAGGTGCAGTTTTCGCCTTGGCGGATGTACTCAAGTACCAAGCCGATATTATTGCCTTAAAGGAAATGCGATGGAAAGGGACTGGCGTAAGTAAATCAGATGATTACGCCCTGTATTATAGCTGCCATGAAACGAGACCTGAATTTGGCTGCGGATTTATGGTTAACAGGAGAATAAAAGACCTCGTCTCCAGATTCACTCCTCCAGTAGATGAGCGAATTGCTATAATCCGCATAAAAGCGAAGTTCTTCTACATCAGTCTTGTTTGCGCACTGAAGACAAAGATGAACAGACCAAAGACATATTTTACGAGCGCCTAGAAACAGCATATGACCGTTGCCCTGGCCATGACGTTAAAATTTTTGGTAGAAGATTTTAATGCAAAAATCGGAAGGGAAAATATCTTTGGCCCCACCGTCGGAAAATTTCTGACTCGATGAAGAAACTTCAGACAACGATGTGGAAAAGACTTCATCGAGAGATCGTCTATAAAAACTCCCTCTAGAGCTCCTCTATAAAGACTGCCTCCTTGGCCCCACCGTCGGAAAATTCAGCCCTAATGAAGAATCATCCGACAACGATGTGGAAAAGACTTCCTGTAGAGGCCGCCTATAAAAACTCCCTCTAGAGCTCCTCTATAAAGACTCCCTCTAGAGGTCGGCTATGAAAAAGACTCCCTCTAGAACTCATCTATGAAAAGGACTCCCTTTAGAGGGAGCTCTCTAGAGCTCCTCTATAAAGTCTCCCATTAAAGCTCGTTTACAAAGACTCCCTCTAGAGCTCGCCATTGCAAAAGACTCCCTCTAGAGATCTGCGTCGACTGTGAATATCGGCGTCGAATGAACCATGAGTTGTACCAGCTATTCTCGGATATCGACATTGTTAGACGTATTGGGCTGCAGGTGCGACTACGTTGGCTAGGTCATGTTGTGAGAATGGATGAAGATGCCCCAGCCCAAAAGACATATAAAAGCGAACCAGCTGTTGATTCACGTAGAAGGGGAAGGCCACGAATACGATGGAAAGATCAAGTCGAAGACAACATTGCCGAAAATGGTCTTTCAAATTGGAAAAAATGCGCAAAAAACCGACGCGCCTGGAAATCTTTTCTAAGCTCGGCTTATGGAACGAAAGTTCTGTCACAAGCCAGCTAAGTAAGTAAGTAAAAATAATTTTTAATATAAATTACCTAACTGCAAACATTTTAGAAATGGTAATTTATTTTAATTTGAATTATTTTTAATAAAAATAAATTGGCTTTCAACACACAACAAAAAAGTGAATTTTTATTAAATAAATTTTCAAAAAAAAAATTAATTTTTTTTTTTTGAAAAATGTTATTTAATAAAAAATACTTTTTTCAAAAACAAAAAACAACAACAAATATTTTGTTTCATTAAAATCAAGACGTTTCAACGAGAATACGATTCCGCGCGATTGCATCCCGAGAATTACTACCACCACCCGCGGACATATTGTAAATATGCCTTCTCAGTATCCGAATGTGCTTTTGGGAAATTTCAAAATTGTGCACCAAATTGTTGAGTTGAGTTTGTAACTCCGCAATGAGAGCATCTCGTTCCTGCACCAAACTATTGGCCGAAGTTTGACTGCGACTCAGTTTCAATTCCAATTCGAAAATTCGTTTCTGTAGATCCCGTTTCAGCTTTTCACTCTGCTCCCGCTGACGTGTGATCGAACGCTTATTGGAATTTTCCAAGGTATGCATTTGATCGCGCAGCTTCGAGAGTTCTTCGTTCAGCTTCCGCTTCTCGTGTTTCAGCGCTGTGTTGTAATTACGAAATATTTTCAAATCTCTTTCCGCGGTTTTGAGCCGAGCCATTGTGGCTAGTTTCCGCTTCGAGATTTCGTCGATTTTCTTTTTCATCTGAGTCGCTTCGATCTGTATTGAACGTATTCGGTCGTTAAGTATCCGATTTTCACGAGAGATGCGATCGTTTTTCGACTTTTCTTCCTTCATTAGTTGCGGTAATTGTGAGAGGTCTCGAAGTTTGGCTTCGATTTTGTGCCGCAGCTGTTCGAAGCCATGCGTTATTTCCGATTCCAAATGATGATTATTTGTATTGAGTTTTTCAATTTCCCGTTGTTGGGTTTTCATGACGCGTTGGGCGCGAACACAACGGCTGTGATAGTCTTGAAGGCAATTTTGTTGTTGTTCAATGATGGAGCGGAATTGTTGTTGTTCGCTTTGTAGGCTGTTAATGGTGTTTTGGAGTAGCGCCACGGGAGGAGCTATAGAAGCTGAAGACATTTTAGGGGGTGCGGCTGGAGTCAAATACGATTTTGCTTTAGAAATCCTATCATCTCTTCTGTTTTGATAGGGACTTTTTAAAGGTGGCCGGTTTTCTTTATCTCGGTCCCAATTATACGAGTCCACATCACCTACCAAATATCTTTCCTGGGGAACAACCTGCATAAAACTACTACCTCGATGAAATATTTGTGTTGATTTCCGTTGCAGTGAAATATCCGAATCGGTTGTGGTGGTGCCGGTGCTGGTGTTATCCGAATATGTCTCATCATCCCGGAGACTTGGACTCACCCCATGCCTTTCGTGCTCTTTCATAAATCGTTGATGTTTCTCCTGCATTTCACACAGTTCGGTGTTGATTTTCTTGTATTTATTTTCCAGCTCTTGGGTGGTATCTTTATATTGCCTCAGTTCTTCTTGGTATTTTATAAGTTCCGAATGTAATTCATCGCTCCTTCGATGTCGTTTATTCAAATCATAACCTTCTAAATTGAAATCAATGATATCATCCTCATCGTCTTCAGCATCACTTTCGTCGGGAAGAAAATTTTTTAAAATTGTTTCCGACCCCATTGGTAATGGTTCTCTTCCTTCATCTTCTCGTTCCCCTTCCGCTTCTTCTTCCTCTCCTCTATAATATTCCATAACTGGAATTTCCTTCTGGAAATTATCTTTGCCTAATATTTTATTATTGCTCGAATTTTTGAAGATCTGCAACCCCTTATTGAAGCCCAAAGAATTATCTCCGGCCGATCTACTGGTGATGACATAACAATTTGATGTCCCGTCCATCTGTGAGAGATTCAAATCCTCCTTTATGTCGCTCATATCATTACAAAATTTAAAATTTTGACTCTTCGATTCCACGTGGTCCATGGTGGATGAATCAATAATTGAATTTTTTACAAAATCTAAAATTTACAACAAATTTTTACAAAATTCACTTTTGACGTAGGATATCAAATCAAGATAATCAAAAAATTAACTACAAATAATTTATAAGGTTGGTACGAAATAAATTTAAACAAGATCTTTCGGAGAATTTTTTTTCAAACACTACAAGAGCTGCCTCATCTTCTGGCGCAAGTACCCATGCTTCAGACCCATATAACAGCACGGGTAGTATCAGCGTCTTGTAGAATGTGAGTTTGGTCTGGCGGGAGGTAGCCTGTGTTGAATGTGTCGATGTGTTTTTCGTGGGTTTTTTTTTTTTGGTATGGTCCAAAAATGTCATTGACCATTGGCTTCAATCGTTCACACAGCACACTGGATAGCACTTTATATGCGATGGGAAGAAGGCTAATTCATCTATAGTTGGCACATATCGTCCTGTCTCCTTTTTTGAGCACGGGACACAGGATGCTGAGGTTCCAATCATTGGGCATGCATTCTTCTAGCCAAATTGTACTAATCAGCTGGTGCATGCTCCTGCTTTATTATTCTTCAGCCGATTGGTTGCTATTCTGACCACATCTTGGCTATGTGGTATACACTCTATACCGTCATCTATTATTAGTTCTGAGGTATCTTCTTCACCGCTACTATTTGATATCAGAAGCTTTTCAAAATGCTCCTTCCAGATCCTCAGCACGCTGTCTGTATCTGTCACCAGGTTTCCTTCTTCATCTCTACAGGAGGATGTGCCTGAACCAAAACCTTCGGTTTGGTGTTTTACCCGTTGGTAGAATGTTCGGACTTCATTCTGACTCCTGTATATGTCGATTTGCTCACGCAAAATCGATAGTTCTCCATCGCATTACGTGTTGCTACTGCCCGCAGGGTTGCCCTATACGCTGCGTTTTTCATATCGGATTTCTTGATGGTGGTCTTTGGTACCCAAGTGTTGCTTTTGCTACAGTTTGTAGGGAGTGGGCAATTCTCTGCCACTGTGCTTCTATATTATTATCGGGACAAGGGGTGCTTTCGTCAAGCTGTTGAGTAAGTTGAGCGGAGTAGGCTTCTGCTATCTGTTGTGTTTGCAGCTTTTCGACGTCAAATTTTCCGTGTTACATTAGATCGCACCTTTGCTGCAATATTAAGACGGGTGCGTACCTTGGTTGCCACAAGGTAATGATCCGAATCGATATTCGCTCCCCGGATCGTTGGGATGTCTAAAACACTGGATGAATGCCTTCCGTCTATCACAATATGAACGATTTGATTTCTCGTTGTTCGATCGGGAGAAATCCAAGTGGCCTTGTGTATATCGAGATGCATGAATCTGGTGCTGCTAACTACCATGTTTTTAGTTGTCGGCGAAGTCAATCAATCTCATGCCGTTGTCTGATGTTTCTTCATTTTCCCTTCCGATTTTTGCATTAAAATTTCCTAGCAGAATTTTAGTGTCATGGCCAGGGCACCGGTCATATGCAGTTTCTAAGCGCTCGTAAAAATGTCTTTGGTCTGTTCATCTTTATCTTCGGTTGGAGCATGGGCGCAAATGAGACTGCTATAGAAGAACTTCGCTTTTTAAAAAAAATTACATCTTGAAAAATTTTTTTTTTAAATACACTCCTTTAAAACAATTTATTTTTTAAAAAAATCGAGGATTTTAAAATAATATTTTAAAAATACATGCCTGTTTGGGTTTCTTGAAAAAATATATATGTATATTTTTAAATCCTCCTCCTCTTTTGTATGTGTCTTGAGATCTTGAAAAATAATTTAAATAACAATTTGGTGTTAATGTATATACTTTTTATAAAAAATATCTAGATGTCGCATCTCTCTTTTCCTTCCTTCTTCTCTCTCTCTCTCTCTTGAGTACATTATCTCACACACAAAAATTCACATTCACGTTTTGTACCAAAACGATTATCATTTCCACCGCAACCGCCATAGATAAAATAAACACACGAATTGTTTCGCCGAACATAGGTCCATGAAGGCCGATAGTCCATGCACCAAACTCTACTGGGTCCATTCATGGCTGATGGATATGAACACCGGGCTAGAGAAATAAACGAATTACAGAGAACTACAAATTTTCAATTCGAAATTCTGGCGATAATACTTTGAGCTCGGTTGCAGGTGATTAATAGCAGTATGCCCCAAAGCGGAAGAAAAATATTCATATTTTTTTCGAATCAAATTAATGGAAATGTAAGATGCTACTGAACGGATTCTATTGTAAATAATGGAAATGAAATTTCAATTTTGTTATTGAATGTAATAATATCGTTATGTGACCACAATTTTTTTAATGCACAACTACGTTATATAAATACAATTAACATGATGTCAGAATCACACAAGGTCAAATATACCAACGATAAATGCGGAACGATGAAAAAATACTTTTAAAAATCCACGCATATTTGGCTACCTTTAAAAAATATTTTTAAAAATCCACGCATATTTGGCTATCTTTAAAAAAATATTTTTAAAAATCCACGCATATTTGGATACCTTTAAAAAAAAAATATTTTTAAAAATCTACGCATATTTGGCTACCTTTAAAAAAATATTTTTAAAAATCCACGCATATTTGGCTACCTTTAAAAAAATATTTTTAAAAAATTCCACGCCTATTTGGTCAGGCTTGAATAAATATTTTTGAAAAAATCCACGCCTATTTGGTCAGGCTTGAAAAAATATTTTTAAAAAAAATCCATGCCTATTTGGTCAGGCTTAAAACAATATTTTTAAAAAAATCCAAGCCTATTTGGTCTGTCTTTAAAAATATATATTTTAAAAAATCCCCGCCTAGTCATTGAAAAAATTATTTAAAAAATCAACGACTAGTCACTGAAAAAAATTTTAAAAAAATCCACGCCTAGCCATTGATTTGTTTTAAATCCACGCCTAGGGGATACGATAAAAAAAATCAACGCCTAGGGGTCATATTATGGTCCATTTAGAAAATGTGCCGAAAACACCAAATTATCAAATATCAAATTACACACAATACGATTGTAAACCCAAGCCCAAAATCTTCAAAATTCCAAACATTTGGATGTACCTTTTTATTGGCGCTACCCTGAAAAATCAGTGAATATTGATTATTTTTAGTTGCGAGATTTGTTACCCAATAAGAGCCCAAAATATCAAATTACAGCCAATTCCATTGATAAACGTGCCCAAGATCCCCAAAATACCAAAAATTTCGGGTACCCTTATATTGGTGGGATAGGTCCAATATAAGGGTACCCAAAGTGCACCAATATTGCTAATTTTTAGTACAATGGTTTGTTACTCAATGAGAAGCCAAAATATCTAATTGCAAACAATTCGATCGAAAAATGTACCAAAAATACTGAAATTTGGGTGGTACCCTTATTAGGGCGTCCATTGCAAAAAGTGGACCTATTTTAATTATTTTTGATAGCTGAGATTTGCTAACCAATGAGAACTCATACTACAAAATTACAGCCAATTCGATTGATAAATGTGCCCAAGCTCCTCAAAATACGGAGGTACCGTTATATTGCGCCTATCCCAAAAAGTGGACTAATAATGATTATTTTTGGTAGCGAGATTTGCTATCCAATGGGAACTCAAAATATCAAATTACAACCAATTTGATTGAAAAACGTGCTCAAAATACCGAAATTTTGGAGGTACCCTTGCATGGGGGTCCATCGTAAAAAGTGAATCAATATTAATTATTTTTAGTAGGAAGATTTGCTATCCAATGGGAACTCAAAATACCAAATTTCAGCCAATTCTAAATTTGGTATTTTCGGAGGTACCCTTGTAAGGGGGCCCACCACAAAATGTGGACCAATAGTGATTATTTTTGGATATGGTGATTTTTTACACAATGAGAATCCATAATATCAAATTACAGTCAATTCGATTGAAAAAGTGGCAAAATGCCGACATTTTGGAGGTACCCTTTTAAGGGGTCCACCCTAAAAAGTGGAGCGATATTATTTATTTTTGGTAAGGATATTAGTAACCCAATGAGAACTAAAACTGCCAAATTTCAGCTAATTCGATTGAAAAATGTGCCCAAAACACCCAAATGTTGAAGGTTCGGTTATGAGGGGTCTATCCCATAAAGTAGACCAATAGTGATTATTTTTGGTATAAGGATTTGCCACCCATTAAAAACTCAAAATACCAAATTTCAGCCAATTCGTTTGAAACATGTGCCCAAAATACCGAAATTTTGGAGGTACCCTTGTATGGGGGCCCATCGCAAAAATGGACCCACACTAAATATTTTTCATAGTGAAATTTGTTACACAATGAGAACCCGAAATACCAAATTACAGTCAATTCGATTGAAAAATGTGCCCAAAATACCCAAATGTTGGAGGTTCGGTTATGAGGGGAGGTTTGGTTAAAGTGGACCAATAGTGATTATTTTTGTTATAAGGATTTGCCACCCATTAAAAACTCAAAATACCAAATTTCAGACAATTCGTTTGAAACATGTGCCCAAAATACCGAAATTTTGGAGGTACCCTTGTATGGGGGCCCATCGCAAAAATGGGCCCACACTAATTATTAGGGAAATTTGTTACACAATGAGAACCCGAAATACCAAATTACAGCCAATTCGATTGAAAAATGTGCCCAAAATACCCAAATGTTGAAGGTTCGTTTATGAGGGGTCTATCCCATAAAGTGCACCAATAGTGATTATTTTTGGTATAAGGATTTGCCACCCATTAAAAACTCAAAATACCAAATTTCAGCCAATTCGTTTGAAACATGTGCCCAAAATACCGAAATTTTGGAGGTACCCTTGTATGGGGGCCCATTGCAAAAATGGGCCCACACTAATTATTAGGGAAATTTGTTACACAATTAGGGAAATTTGTTACACAATGAGAACCCGAAATACCAAATTACAGCCAATTCGATTGAAAAATGTGCCCAAAATACCCAAATGTTGGAGGTTCGGTTATGAGGGGTCTATCCCATAAAGTGCACCAATAGTGATTATTTTTGGTAGAACGATTTGCCGTTTTGGGTCCCTTAAGAAAATATTTTTTTTATGTAACCATTGTATCACTGTTATATTCCTGGAATTATTTGGTTACACCCTTTGCAAATTGGCACAGGCTTGCCCCCAATCTGGCTTCCTTATTCGATGTGTATCAAAAAATTATACGCAAATACTTTTAGTTGATTATCTACCCCCAAATTGAGGTGTATCATAATTTTTTTTTTTATTTTATTATCAGTCAATATATATTTTGTTTCTGATTGGGAAATGTAAACAATAATAAATAATTCCGCCATTGGTAGGAAAAAAGAGGGTGAACAAATGAAGAAGCCTAAATTTTAAATTAAGAAAAAACTAAGAATTTTTGTTTATTCAAATTGCAAATGATCGTAGTGTACATGATGAGGTTGTTGTTGTAGTGGTGATTTTTGGTTATCTAATTGTTGTTGTTTTTGTTCTTCATTATCACTAACACTTATTATCTCTTCATAGATTTGATGCGGTAACTCCTGAGGTGATGTATCGCCATATGTTATGTGCACGGTTTTTTGACATTTATCCGCTTGATTGGCATAGGCCAATGATTTACAGTTGCATTCCGAACACATACCATGCAGGGGGACTTCATAACCCCCGGGGTCATTGCAAATTGCAGGCGGCGATATATGATGATCAGCATTTGGTCCATTTGTTATTGGTGGCAATTGTCGTACCACATCAAAACGTTGTGAGGTAGTGGGTACCTGATTCCTTACACATGAGAAATTTTTATAATACGATAAGTGGAACATTTTCTGACAATAGATCCACATATAGAGCAGCAGGAACAGGAAGGCTATACCCAGAGGTAACATGAAAACGATGATAAGGGCCTCGGCCCGTTGATTGCGTTTAAATTCCCATTGATCGCCATTGGGTCCACCGGCCGTGTAGAGCACGGCAAAAGAGGAAATGTTATTTAGAGGGATTTGGGGGGTGGCGGGAGTAGCATGGGCTGTTGGTGTTGAAGCAGTGCTTTGAGTTAATTCTTCTAATTCCTGTTGTTGTTGCTGTTGTGGTTTTCTTGCCTCTTGGCTTGCCTTCGGGGGATTTTCTGCCGGCACGCATTCCAGTCCATTAACATTTATTCTCGATATAAATTTATCATATTGTAGTAAACGGAATTTCTCGGGATATTTATGGGCAAAATCATGTAACCATAGACAATCCCATGGATTGTGATTGGCTTTTATGCGTAACATTTGCAACGTTTGCCATGTTGGAAATTCTCCATCAACTTCGTTTAGCGATTGTAGCTGATTTTCACGTAAATCCACATGGTGGGCAAGTGGTAGGCTGACCATTAGCTGTTGAAGCGATATGCGATGTATACGATTTGATTTCAGTGACAAACGTTCGAGGGTGGTTAAATTCACCAGCCATTCATGGGGAAAATACTCCAAACGATTCGAACTTAAATCTAAGTCTTTCAATTGATTTTCATAGGCGTGAAATTCCTGCAATGCATTACCGTGTAAATTAAGCACCGCCAAGCTTGAATGGTCATCGATTAGGGTAAAGGCCCGCAGAGCACAACGAGCTATTGTTAGATTGCCAAGAGCATGGGGATTGATTAATTCGACATATCCGCCGTCGCCTCCCTCACCATTTTCAATTACCGTATCGGAAACATAAAGTGTTTGCAGCGTTTCGGGCAAGTGGCGGAAAATTGCTGACGTCATCTGTTTGAGTTCCACCAAATGTATGCTGATGGCAGCGGTGTGTTCAAATAAATCAGCAGATTTCAAAATGAGTACAGGTTCTTGGATGATCGTCAAATGTTCTAAGGCCCTTAGCGGCTGTAAAGATTTACTCTGCAACACCCTTAATGAATTACTCTTCAATTCAAGGATCCTTAATTGAGGATATCGTTGACCTTGAAACGTATCATCATCAATACTGGCAATTTCATTGTACTGCAAATGCAAATATTCCAATTCAAGTTGTTGTGTGGATGCGGCATCACACCGCAGTGGCCCCAACGAGTCCATATGGAAATGTTGTAATGCCACTTTGGTAACATTTGCACAGATGGGTAAAAATTCCAAACCATACGTTTGTGTATTCAGTGGTGTTTGGCAGCCATCCAATATTACAGATTGTATGCCCATGAAACGACGACGTTGCCACAATACGGAAAATGCGGCTGATTTTGTTGAAACATCTTCCTCGGGTAGTTCGTCTGCGTTATTTTCCAAATTTCCATTAATTTTATCCGAACAATCGATATCCATTGCAATGCCATTGCTAGAGGATTCCAAATTTTGATATAACTCAGCACGAATATTACACACCTCCGAACTTAGCCAACAGGATTCATCATGACCGAGACTACTACTATCCGCCCGAATCAAGGGCAATCCCTTGGCCAATAGGGGTAGTAGAAAAATAAGTTTTTCCCAAAATTTCCAAATGATTTTCATTTCACATCGACAACACCTTGGTAAAATTTGGTTTATTTATTTATTTCGGAATTGTCTTCTTCTTCTGCTTGCATTACAAAAAACGAAAAACCGATATTTGGAGATCCATACGATACGATACCGTTCTTTTGATCGTTCACTCGTTCGGCTTGCCAGCGTCTAAACAACTACCAGTTGGCGAGGGAGAACAAAATTTCCTTTTTGCAGCTGAAAAAAATACAAAAAAAAACAAAATTAAAAAAATTCTCAGCAGCAACTGATTCAATACTCACTCAGTGTCTGTGTGTGTTTTGTTGATATCTTCTTCTTCACAGTTGATTTGGCGATTCCAAAATTGTTTCTGTGTTTTTTTTTTCAATTTTTGCTTCGATGAGCAGAAAGCGGAGCGGAACAGCAGCACATTGACGCTTTTCTTTCGTCCATTCGCAAGCAAATTTTCAATCAAATGTTTACCCGCTGTGTGAAAACATTGCGTCCGTCCCCACACTCGCACACACACACACACACGGGGAAATGTGTGAAAAAAGTAATGGGTGGGTGGGTGATTGGTTGGTGGCGCCTAATAAATTGTTCTGCGAGCCCATTATCTATGTCAGACTGGCCGCAACACCTTTCTTATTAGATAGATGGATGGACGGATGGATGGACAATGCGCATGAATGAAGGAATTTAAATAAATAAAAATTTGGTGTACAGTGGTCGAGGGAGGGTCAGTGAGTGAGATCAGAATAGAATTCAATGCCATGATTCCATTCAAATTTCGGTATTTTGGAAACGTTTTTCCAATAGTATCGGCTGTATTTTGGGTTCTCATATTGGTCAACTTTCTTAAGTGGGTCACTTATAAGGGTACCTCCCAAATTTTGATATTTTGGCCACATTTTTAAATCGAATTGACTGAAATTCTATATTTTGGATTCTCATTGGGTAGCAAATCTCCCTACCAAAAATAATTAGTATGGGTCCACTTTTTGGGATAGACCCCTCATAACCGAACCTCCAACATTTGGGTATTTTGGGTACGGTTTTCAAACGAATTGACTGTAATTTGATATTTCAGGTTCTCATTGTGTAGCAAATCACCCTACCAAAAATAATCACTATTGGTCCACATTTTGGGTTGGGCCCCATACAAGGGTACCTCCAAATTTTCGGTGTTTTGGGCACCTTTTCCAACCGAATTGGCTGTAATTTGGAATTATGGATTCTATATTGAGTAACAAATCATTGTACTAAAAATTAGTAATATTGATGCACTTTGTGGGATAGGTCCAATATAAGGGTATCTCACAAATTTCAGTATTTTGGGGAGCTTGGGCACGTTTATCGAATCGAATTGGTTGTAATTTGGTATTTAGAGGTCTCACGGTATTTTCTCTCTCTACTAAAAATAAGTAATTTCACTGAATTTTTAGGGTAGCCCCAATATAAATTTGCCCCAAATATTCGGAATTTTGACGATTTTAGGCACAATTTTTCAATCGAATTGCCTGCAATTTAGTATTTTGAATTCTCATTCTACAAACAATATTAATAATGGTACACTTTTTGGGGTAGGGCCCACATAACGGAACCTCACAAATTTCGCTATTTTGGGGATCTTGGGCACGTTTTTAAACCGAATTGGCTGAAAACTGGTATTTTGCGTTCTCATAGGGTAGTATCTCTCTCTACTAAAAATAATCAATATTCAATGAATTTTCAGGGTAGCGCCCATATAAAGATACTTCCAAATATTCGGAATTTTGAACATTTCGGGCACATTTTTCAAAGGAATTGTCTGTAATTTGATATTTTGGGTTATAAAAAACCGGACCATACTTTTCAAAATTTTTTTCAATGACTATTTATTCCCAAGGCGATTTTCTAAAGAAGTTTTTTTAATGACTATCAGAACCCTAGGCGTGGATTTTTTAAAGTATTTTTTCAATGACCCTCAGGCCTCTTGGCGTGGATTTTTTAAAGAATTTTTTTCAATGACTATCAGGCCTCTAGGCGTGGATTTTTTAAAGTATTTTTTCAATGACCCTCAGGCCTCTTGGCGTGGATTTTTTAAAGAATTTTTTTCAATGACTATCAGGCCCCTAGGCGTGGATTTTTTAAAGATTTTTTTTCAATAATTTGATACAGATTTTTTTGAGATTTCTTTTTTCAATAATTTGATACAGATTTTTTTGAGATTTCTTTTTTCAATAATTTGATACAGATTTTTTTCAGATTTTTTTTTTTCAATGACAAACTTTAAATATTTATTTTTTTTTTAATTTTGCGATACAGCCCAATGTACATGTATGTGTACTTATAAGCAAAAATTCAAATGTTCTTTTCTATTTATTGTTTATAAAAAAAATCATACTGACCGCTTTATTATTGAATCCACTATATCAAGTTATTTATTTATTTTGTTTTTCAATAATTTGATACAGATTTTTTCAGAATTTTTTTTTCAATGACGAACTTTAATGACTGTCTTTGATTTTTAAATATTTATTTTTTTTCCAATTTTGCGATACAGCTCAATGTACATGCATGCGTACTTATAAGCAAAATTTCAAATGTTCTTTTCTATTTATTGTTAATAAAAAATCATACTGACCGCTTTATTATTCAATCCACTGGCCGACCGACCAACACTTAGTATGTTTGTCTTAATGTGTTATCGACCAAAAAAGATTATTAGTAAACATGAGTAAATATAAAAAAAGTGAATTCCAATACCACTGACAACAAAAAGAGATACACAACAAAATGAGCAAACAAACGCACGTATAAAAATAGAGATTTATTTAAAAAAATTAAATTTTGCATTACGTGACGCCAAAATGGCTGCGAGATATATTAAACTAAAATATTTTTAATAAAAAAATGACAAAAAATGGATTTGAAAAAATATTAACAATATTGGGTTAAAATAAAAAAAAAAAACTTTTTAGCCCACTTTGGATGATCTACAGAAAAAAAACTAAAAACAAAAATATTTTAGATTGCACCTTTGCTGCTCCCAAATTCAGTATTTTGAAATATATTCTCATCTCTGTTGGACCTTAAGAAATATCCACGTTGGTCCAAATTTTTTTCAAGGTCTAACACAGGCTAGGATTTTTTAAAGAAAATGTTTTCACGGAGGCGTGGATTAAATTTTTTTTCATTGCGGCGTGGATTTAATAAGAAATTCATTACAGCGTGGATTTAAAAAAATATATATTTTTCATTAAGGCGTGGATTAAAAAAACATTTTTCAAAAAAAACAATGTTTTTCTGTTAGATCTCAGAAAATATCCACGTCTATGCTGGACCTTGAAAAATATCCTCATCTCTGTTCGATCTTAAAAATATCCACGTCTCGGGTGGATTTTGAAAAAATATCCACATCTATGATCGAACTTGAAAATTTCCTAATCTCTGTTCAACCTTAAAAATATCAAAGTTTCTGGTGGGTATTGAAAAAATATCCGCATCTATGTTCGACCTTAAAAAAATATCCATACGATGGGATAATTTGCTGTCAAAAAAAAACCCCATGAAACTTTTATAATACTTTAAGGTATTTTATTTGAAAAAGAAAATAAATAAAAAAATATATTTTAAAACTAGAAAATGTAAAATAATCAACTTAAATACTAAATATTCGAAAATACACCGACAATAATACACAAAAATGCAATAATACTCAATATAAATGCACATACATACGTAGGAAACAAATTAATAAAAACTTCGTATACGAAAAATTCGACAAAAATTATAGATATAGAAAATACAATGATGTAAAAATAAATAAAAATTTGAAAATATACAAAATATTTCCTCTAACATTTAGATATGCATGAGAAAAAAATATAAATCCATTTATATCCAAAACATATAGAAAATCGATTACACATCTTCCTCCGCCTGCTCGCCTTTCAATTTCTTTTGTTTGAAAAATTTCACAGTTCCAGCCTGAACTTTACCATATGTGGTGGCCACTTGTAAATGCCGTGATATCCATTGCGGCAGCTTACGTTGTATATTCTCACGAGCATATCTTTCGTCCAGCAAATAGACACAGGCATAATCACGAATATGACGTACCGAACGACCAATACATTGATTAACAGCTTTCATACATAAATTCTCATAGTATTCGGCACCGGATCCGGCACCCAATGTTTTATCCAAATGCGACATACGTTCTTGTATCTCTGGGGAATTACAATATGGATAGGGTAGACCGACAACGATAACACCACGGCCCAAATTATCGGCAAAATTGAGACCCTCACTAAGTTTACCACCCACAACACTTAGCAATAAGGCACCACCACCACCCTGTTGATTTTTAATGACACGACTATATTCCGACAAAATTTGTTCAATATTTTGTTCAACAGCGGAACCACCAACACCAGAACCACCTCCTGAGCTCTGATTATCACTGCGTGGTTCACGAAAAATCCTTTTTTTATTTGAGATCCTCTGTAGAATACCAGTTTTTTGTAATTGCTCATAGACACTATTCAGATAATCATATGACGGTACGAAACACACAACGCCAGCGGGTATGACATTACACAGATTTTCCAAAACACTACAAAGTTCGTTAAGCTAAAAAAAACGGGAAATGGGAGGGGATAGGGTTATTCACATTCGCATTGGAGGAAAAAAATTGAATTTCAGTTACCATAACCGTTGATGATCTCTGTTGAAAATTAAAACACAAATTACGACCACTTGGTCCCTTGGTAACAACAAATGGCAAGACGGCATCATCAGGCACCACATGATCGTAGAAATGTTGTTTTATACGCTCAGGACAGGAGCTAAATAATTGTTCCGTCAATTCGTTAGTTGGCTGCATTGTTCCACCGGCAACAATAATCTAAAAAGGGAAAGGAAATTGGGGGAGGTAGGGAGTTAGGGATTTACTGCAACGCTTATAATAATAAAAAAATTCAAGGACCTCAAGTGGACTTTGAAAACAATTTAAAAAAATCCAAGCCTCTAAGTAACTGAAAAAAATCCACGCCTAGGAAAAATATATATTTTTTTGAAAAATCCACGCCTACAAAAACAAAAATTTTTGTAAAAAATGCAAGCCTAGAATTTTTTTTAAATTGACGCCTAGGAAAAATATATATTTTTTTAAATCAACTCCTAGGAAAAATATATTTTAAAAATCCACGCCCAGAAAGAAATGTTTAAATCCAAGCCAAGAAAAAATATTTTTGAAAAATTCACGGTTAGAAAAAATATTTTTGAAAAATTCACGGTTAGAAAATATATTTTTTTTTAAATCGACTCCTAGGAAAAATATTTTTTTTTAAATCGACTCCTAAAAAAATATATATTTTTTAAATCGACTCCTAAGAAAAATATTTTTGAAAAATCCAAGCCAAGAAAAAATATTTTTGAAAAATCCAAGCCAAGCCACTCGAAAAAATATTTTTGAAAAAATTCACGGCTAGAAAAAATATTTTTTAAAAAATCCACTGCTAGAAAAAGTATTTTTTAAAAAATCCACGTCTTGAATTTAAAATAATATTTTTTAAAAAATCCACGCCTTGAAAAAATATTTTTTTATATATTTATATATTTTTAAAAAATCCTTAGAAAAAACTTTAGAAAATCCAACCCTCTTAATAAAATTTAAAAAATCCAAGCCTCTTAAAAAAAATTAAAAAATCCAAGCCTCTTAAAAAAAATTTAAAAAAATCCAAGCCTCATTGAAAACAACATTGATTAAAAAATCCACGGCTCCTTAAAAAAATTAGTTGGACTTTGAAAAATATTTTTTTTAATCCACGCCACTGTTGATCCTTGAAAAATTTGTTTTTTTTTAAATCCACTCCTCTGTTGGTCCTTGAAAAAATATTATTTCAGTAGTGTTGGCGGTTTATTTGGGATACCATTTGTATTTTGTTTTTGCAAAATAGTCAGGCTGAATCCCAGTTTGTTGTTTTTTTTTAAAAAAAAAAAAAAAAAACAACTATTTATTAGTGGGGAATGTATGGCATTGTTTGCCGAGGGGTAAGGCAGGGAAGACTATAGTTTCGGATCACGCCACTGATCCTCATCAGTTCCCTTAGTTTTTTGTTGGGATATTCTCCCCAGAAGCTATTGCTTCTATACAAAAAACCTTTCATACTCAAATGTCTCTTGTAACAAAGCGAAGTACTTAGCTGACCTCACTTCGAGGTTAACAAGGCATTTACAAACAATACCACCTGTTGTGTTTTTTTTTTTTCTGGAGAATTTCCTCACTTCGAGGTTAACAAGGCATTTACAAACAATACCACCTGTTGTGTTTTTTTTTTTTTTTAAAACAACAAACTGGGATTCAGCCTGACTATTTTGCAAAAACAAAATACAAATGGTATCCCAAATAAACCGCCAACACTACTGAAGTTGTAGACGCAGGCACGGTTAAACTGTTTGGTTTGTTGCTGTACACTAGCAACACCAACAAAGTCGTGTGCATTTGTCGCGATGTGACAACACACAACAGTGGGAAAGGTGTGGTATTGTTTGTAAATGCCTTGTTAACCTCGAAGTGAGGCTCCAGCGAAATTCTCATGCAGTTTATGTCGTTGGTCAGCTAAGTACTTCGCTTTGTTACAAGAGACATTTGGGTATGAAAGGTTTTTTGTATAGAAGCAATAGCTTCTGGGGAGAATTCAATTCAATTTTATTTAACTTGTAATTCAAAGCCTTCAGGCCCATTAAAGATAAATTACAAAATGCATATGATATGCTTAACCTAATAAAGGATAAACTACCCCAAAAAAATAACAATAAAAATTCAAAAAATTAAAACATAAATTCATACAATCGTAAATACCATAATAAAAACTACTCCTACACAATCTAACATAATTAAATTAAGTTAGAGAAAAATATATAATAAATGCAAAACAACATTAAAACTAACAATATAAAGATATTAACAATATATAAATATATATATATATATATATATATATTACATAATAACAGAATAAATAAAAAAAAAATATTAAGTGCACTTCCAGAAACTTTCACAAATTAAAATAATAGGCACAAAGCTCAAGAACAAACAAGTGAAACCACCAAAATATAAATCTATTATTTTCCAAAGGTCAACTCCAACAGGAATTGATACAAAAAAGCATCAATTAATATCACCAGAAAATATCTGATACAACAATTTTGAAAAAATATTTACAGAGACGCTAAAATTTCTCAAATAAATAGGAAACAGGTTAAATATTCTGGCTGTTCTAACCACAAAAGAATTTGTCATAAGAAGAGAAGCATTAGGAACAGACAATTGATTAAGTCGCGTAGAGTGCAAAAAACGAAACGATTGAAATAGGAACATAGGCGATTGAGCTTTCATCATTTTGAAAAAGAACAACATTAAACGTATTTTAATAAAGTCATGAAATAAAACCCCAAGGAATCTCATAACATACGGCGTTACATGCGCACGATTATTCAAATTATAAACATAACGAACAGTCCTGTTTACCGCCAACTGAACAAAATGTAAAATAAAATGCGAAGTACCGGAATAAATCTCCAAGCCATATAAAATCATTGGCATTATTAACGCCCGAGCCAACCTCAACCTCACTTCTAGGGGAAGAATCAAATCGGAGTTATAAAGACACCTCAAAGAAAAATTTATTTTTGCCACCAATAAACAAACGTGTTTTTCAAACGAAAGGCGGTCATCTAAAACAACGCCAAGGCAATCCAGCTGATTCACGAACTGAATGCTTGTACCATCATACGAGACACTAATATTAAAATTTCTATTGCGGGAAAAACAAATTGCCTTTGTTTTTAAGGGGTTTATCCTAAGATTATTATTTACCATCCAAGATAACAAAATACCCATTGCCAGATCTATTTTCGACTGGGCAACCAGAGAAGATCGAACATCGCCTCTAAACAACAACTGGATGTCATCAGCATAAGCAAACTGCATACACCAGGTACCCAGTTGAGGGAAAAGATCATTTATAAAAATTATAAAGAGGAGCGGCCCCAAAACCGAACCCTGGGGTACACCACTTGAAACAGGCAACACGCTGCTATACCTATTGCCAACACAAACAAGTTGTTTTCTATTTGACAGATAGGAGTGAAGCAAGGAACATGCAGTACCAGAAAATTTGTAAAAAGCACAAAGTTTGTTCAACAACAAATTGTGATCAACTCTGTCAAATGCTTTTTCAAGGTCCAACGAAAGTAATACAGCGAATTTGCTACAATTGCAGTTACTACGAATAGCATCCGTCAAGCCTAATAACAAAGACGACGTGTTCCTACCTTTACGAAACCCACACTGTGCATCATCCAAAAACATATTAGTCTCAAAATGTGACTGAATTTGAGCTCTTATAATATGTTCAACAACTTTCGATAGGATTGGAAGCATTGAAATAGGTCGGAAATCACTTGAACCCTTTTTCCTTATGGGAATTATCCTAGATATTTTCCACTCATCAGGAAAGACCGAAGTTGACAAAATAGTGTTAACAATATGCAAAAAATCACGAGAAAGAAGCGGGAAAACTTTTCTAAGGAATTTCAAAGAAAAACCATCCAATCCAGAAGCATTTGACTTGATCATGAAAAAAGCTTTTTCTAATTCCCCTAAATCAATACAGCGAAACGAGAAACCTCGATCAATATTCAGGAATTGAGTATCAATGTGAGACAAAGGCAGTTGATTACGAACGAACGTTTGATTCCATTCATCGACATCTAGATCACAATCATAGGAATCAGTATCCAACAACCCTCTAGATTTGACAACATCCCAGAAATCTCTAGAAGAAGAAATATTAGTAAACAAATTTGCATGAGCCTCTTTTCTAACCTTCCGAATCATACCTTTAGCCCTATTCCTCGCCCTACAAAAATATCCCAACAAAAAAAAAAACTAAGGGAACTGATGAGGATCAGTGGCGTGATCCGAAACTATAGTCTTCCCTGCCTTACCCCTCGGCAAACAATGCCATACATTCCCCACTAATAAATAGTTGTTGTTTTTTTTTTTTTAACAACAAACTGGGATTCAGCCTGACTATTTTGCAAAAACAAATACACCGTACGCTTCACCTCCTTTACCACTTGGGCCAATTGGGTATGGGTACGACTGCAAAAGAATATTTGTACATCACGATATTTCATGGGTTTTTCCAATTCTCCATCCTCGTCGTCATCATCATCACTATTATTGGCCTCTTCGAGTACGACATTTTGCTGATCCAAAATATCTTCCTTTGCCACACCATCAACTGCTGATGAGGAGGAGGAGGTCTTCTTCAGGCCTGGGATTCAGCCTGACTATTTTGCAAAAACAAAATACAAATGGTATCCCAAATAAACCGCCAACACTACTGAAGTTGTAGACGCAGGCACGGTTAAACTGTTTGGTTTGTTGCTGTACACTAGCAACACCAACAAAGTCGTGTGCATTTGTCGCGATGTGACAACACACAACAGTGGGAAAGGTGTGGTATTGTTTGTAAATGCCTTGTTAACCTCGAAGTGAGGCTCCAGCGAAATTCTCATGCAGTTTATGTCGTTGGTCAGCTAAGTACTTCGCTTTGTTACAAGAGACATTTGGGTATGAAAGGTTTTTTGTATAGAAGCAATAGCTTCTGGGGAGAATATCCCAACAAAAAAAAACTAAGGGAACTGATGAGGATCAGTGGCGTGATCCGAAACTATAGTCTTCCCTGCCTTACCCCTCGGCAAACAATGCCATACATTCCCCACTAATAAATAGTTGTTTTTTTTTTTAACAACAAACTGGGATTCAGCCTGACTATTTTGCAAAAACAAATACACCGTACGCTTCACCTCCTTTACCACTTGGGCCAATTGGGTATGGGTACGACTGCAAAAGAATATTTGTACATCACGATATTTCATGGGTTTTTCCAATTCTCCATCCTCGTCGTCATCATCATCACTATTATTGGCCTCTTCGAGTACGACATTTTGCTGATCCAAAATATCTTCCTTTGCCACACCATCAACTGCTGATGAGGAGGAGGAGGTCTTCTTCAGGCCTGGGATTCAGCCTGACTATTTTGCAAAAACAAAATACAAATGGTATCCCAAATAAACCGCCAACACTACTGAAGTTGTAGACGCAGGCACGGTTAAACTGTTTGGTTTGTTGCTGTACACTAGCAACACCAACAAAGTCGTGTGCATTTGTCGCGATGTGACAACACACAACAGTGGGAAAGGTGTGGTATTGTTTGTAAATGCCTTGTTAACCTCGAAGTGAGGCTCCAGCGAAATTCTCATGCAGTTTATGTCGTTGGTCAGCTAAGTACTTCGCTTTGTTACAAGAGACATTTGGGTATGAAAGGTTTTTTGTATAGAAGCAATAGCTTCTGGGGAGAATATCCCAACAAAAAAAAAACTAAGGGAACTGATGAGGATCAGTGGCGTGATCCGAAACTATAGTCTTCCCTGCCTTACCCCTCGGCAAACAATGCCATACATTCCCCACTAATAAATAGTTGTTTTTTTTTTTTTTTTTTAAACAACAAACTGGGATTCAGCCTGACTATTTTGCAAAAACAAATATTATTTCCTCAAAAAATATTCTTTAAAAAATCCTAGCCTCCTTGAAAAACTATTAAAAAAAATCCTCGCCCCTGTTGAACCTTGAAAAAATATTCATTCCTCTAGGAATATTCTTTAAAAAATCCTAGCCTCCTTGAAAAACTATTAAAAAAATCCTCGCCCCTGTTGAACCTTGAAAAAATATTCATTCCTCTAGGAATATTCTTTAAAAAATCCACGCCTCTGTTGGACCAACATTATCCTGCAATAATACAAAATATTTAAAATCAGTTTTGTAATTAATGCCCTTCGAAATGTTTTTTCCAACATCACTACCTCTAGGGACTCCATCGATCATGCATTCCTCCCAAATATATTCATCGCATTATTTATTACACGAGTTGGATATCAGATTTTGGATTCATGTTTGAGATGTCAAGAACATTTAAACCCGATATTATAGAAAATTTAGCAGAATTTATAGATAACGATAATAGATTTATATCGGAACTTGATTTTAGCCTTTTTCAATTGTTTCAGAATCATTACTACTACTATTCAAAAAGTCTAACTAAATAAATAGAAAATTTCCAGCACTTACCGATCTTGCCTCTTTAACGATATCTTGAAAATGTGATTCGGGACGTAGTAGAATATATTTCAAACTAGGTTGCATGTCATACTTTCCCGCTGGGGCCGTTTCATCACTACTCACATTGACAAGTATACGACCATCATCAGCTTTTTCACAGAGAGCTTCAAGAAATGCCAATAGGGGTCTTAAAGAAGATGTTAATATGGCGGGTGTTTGTTTTTTCTCCTCTGACGGATTTTGTGAAACTTTCACATCTCCCCCGACATCTTGCTTTTTCGTTTTATTTGATGATTTCATGAGTTTCTCCTCATGATTATGTTGCAAACGCTTGAGAAGACCAACGGCAGCAGCTTTTCCTCCACCTGCTGCTGTTGCTGCGTGAGGAGCAGGAGGTTGATTTTCACTTGGTTTTGGTTCCATTGTTAGGGTCTTAGCAAAACCCTGTAATTTCTGGGCAAATCGTGTACGCTCACAGAATTTGAGTAATTCGAAAAGATCGATATTGAAGAAATCACCTTCGGACATCAGTTCATAGGTGCAGAGCATACGAAATTTATTTGATTTTTCACTGGCCTCGGTGAGAGTGGCAGCGGGTGCTGTTAGTAATTTGACCAGCCTTTTGATGACAAATATTAATCGGTTTATGGATAGCAGATTTGCCGAATTAAAACGCGAAGCATATTTCATTTTATATGCGACAATTTGATGCTGCACCGATTGTAGTTGGGCCAACGAAATCTCACAACTGTATATATCCGATATACAATCCAATAAGTTGTGGGCCTCATCAATGATGACAATCGATCCGCGCAAATCAATGCCAGCCAGCTCACGACTACGTTTGTGCAACAGCAGCTGATAGGGTAACATAACCAGTTGTCCCATTTGTATTGCCATTCGGGCTGCATAATATGGACATGCCTTCAACTCTTCGCCTTCGCTCACCAAATCTTCAATATCAAGAATTTCTGCCAGAGATAATTCACTCAGCTCCTGAACAAGAGCTTGTGATTTATGTGAACACTTGCCCATCGATTTCATATTGATGCGGGACTTCTTTTTGGCACAGCCATCGCCATCGCACGAGGTTACTTTGCTGTTCGTGTTCTTGGCCATATCCAAACAGAGTTCATTAATTAGGGCGGTATTTGTGATTTTACGTAAATCTTTGTGTATACACAATTGTTGGCGTGACGCCATTGAGACACAACGTACACGTTCTCCATACACCGTACGCTTCACCTCCTTTACCACTTGGGCCAATTGGGTATGGGTACGACTGCAAAAGAATATTTGTACATCACGATATTTCATGGGTTTTTCCAAGTCTTCATCCTCGTCATCATCATCAGCATCACTATTATTAGCCTCTTCGAGTATGACATTTTGCTGATCCAAAATATCTTCCTTTGCCACACCATCAACTGCTGATAGGGAGGAGGAGGTTTTCTTTGTTTTCTGCCCACTTGCCCTCTTTTGTTGTTTGAGAATTTTGCGTTTTTCCTTAATCACTTTCAATCGATCTTCATATTCATCCAGCAGCTTTTTAATACCCTTCAATTCCAGCAGTTCTTGTTTTTGTTCCGATGTCTTGGAATGCATCGATATCCAATCGCTGGCCACATTTTGTTCTTTTTCCAATTTTTCTACATCTTTGGTGATCTTCTCTAAACGCTGCAAAAGTTCCTTTCTTATTAAGGCCTCATGATCTTCCAACCACTTGAGGGCAGCACATGTCAGTGTTAACGATTTTCCCGTTCCTGTTGGACTTTCAAATATACCAATCTCTTTATTTTCCAGCACCTTATAGAGTTCGGTCATCAATTGTTGTTGTATTTCATAGGGAGGAAATGGAAAATTAAAATCGCTTGGTGTGGGCAAATGCTGTTGTGGTTCATACATTGTGTCTGATGATCATATTGGAAACTCTGGAGAGGTGGAGATTTTAATTGTTGGAGTTTCTTTCCAAGAAAATTCACTTGTTGATCTCCCGCATAGTTAATTCACAAAGAAACAAGAACAAAACGTAAACAATGGCAAAGCGCGCGCAATCGCTGTCAACTAATACGAGGTCGTTTGACAATTTTTAACGCCGTTATGGAATTGATAATTAACGGCTGTGTAGATATGGTGTATGTATTTGATATGTCATAGCAGGAATAATTAATATTTGCTACAAAACGAAGGAAATCGGTGTAAATATTCCGTGGAGAACTTATTGGTTCAGGTTTTGGTGCAGATAAAGGTGCTGCACACTTTCAGGCAGCATTTTTATAGCTTTAATTAAAAAGCTACTGGTTCAATTTTTGTATTTTGTATTTCAAAAATTTTGTTCGAGGAGGCTGTAGCGGAACCAACAGCCTACTACTGTGAAGGCATTAGTTGCTCTTTGAAGGAGCCCTTCGGTCGGCTATCGTCTATGGGACGGACCAGGGGGATCGTCAGTTTGGTAGGGTAGTTGGAAGACCCCTTATTTTTCAACGCCGTTACAATCACACACCTACCATCTCTCAGTATGCCTATAAAAGAGAGAAAGTGGTCACAACATCTTTTTTCCACAATTTACAATGATTTGATCGATTTTAAGTATTTTCTATGTCCAATTCGGGGCGAAGGATTTGGAAATTTCAGCGGATTTACATTTTTTATATAAAAAACCCTTATTATGTGTAATCGCATAGTTGGAAGCCCCCTTATGTTTGAACGCCGTTACAAATGTCACAGACCTACCATTTCTGTGTATGCCTTTGAAAGACCGAGAGAGAGAGTACTCGGTACTTGCCTTTGTGACGATACTGTGTGTGTGTATGTGATGTTGGTACATTATATATTTGAAAGTGTTTGTGTGTAGCGGCGGCAAAGTTTTATTAAAATCTAAATTAAAAAAAAATCGAAATTAAATTTATAAATATTCCCCAAAAATACGAAACGGAAAAACACAACTAAACTGGCAGCATCATGGTTGATTATCCCGATATTATTAACTTTACACGAGATGAACTGTTGGAGGAATTTTGTAAACTCTTCGATCGCTATCAAGATCTAAAGGAATCGAACGAAGCCGATACACAAAAAATACACGAACTCAAGCGATCATTAGATACAGCGGTTGCAGCCCAAGCCTACCTGTCACAAGAGCTGGAACAATACACGAGCAGTGAAAATTGTCAAGATGATGCGAATGAATTGCAAAAGACCCTATCGGAATTGGCGGAGTTGCGAAAGCGTTATAGCAAATTGGAGCTGTCCTATAATACACTGCAACAGGATCATAATGCATTGCTCGAGGAAAATGCAATGCTAACCAAGACCGTGGAAGAGTTGAATAAACGTAAAGAAAGCGAACCTGCGGTTGTGGAGAGTAAATCCTCCGAGGAAGATTTGCAGCGTATCCAAATGTTGGAAACGGAAAATATGGATTTGCTCGAGAAAATGGAAGATTTTCAAGAGCAAACTGTACGATATACGCTAACGATTGCCGAGTATGAGGTAGATTTGGAAATAACTACATAGTTCAAAATTTTTGTTTTATAAATTTCATTTTCTTTTTAGAAAAATATTGAAATTTTACGTGATCAAATCAATTGCCTGGAGGAAAATCTACAATCGAAAAAGGCCGACCTTGATGAAAAGGTTCAAATCCTGGAAAGTACTCAAGAACAATTGGCCGAAGCCAATGCCCAAATTGCAATGTTATCGGCTGCTCCGGAAAATAATGGTAAGGTTTCATAACCAATATTATTTTCAATCTTCCAAATATCAATTTTTTTTTTTTAAAAAAGTGGCAGTTTAAAACTGTTCAAAAATTTCTTATTCAATATTTTGTATTTCCTCTTCTTTTTTTGCAGATCGCAAAGGAAATTCCTTATTTGCCGAAGTGGATGATCAACGCCAGGTCATGAAACAATTACTGAATTCCCAAAAGAAAAGCTACATGCAAATGAAAAAGATTTACAATGAGAGTGAACACGAGATTCGCCGTTTGAAACGTGAAAATATTGCCATGCACACAGAGCTGGAGGCATGCAGTGCAATATTCTGCAATGCTGATAAAGTGTATCAAGGTATGATGGGATGCCTTTTTAATATATATAATTTTTTTTTGAGTTCAAAATCTATTGAAGGTCCTTTAGACGTCTTGAAAATTTTTTTTAAAAAATCCAAGCTTGAAAAAAATCCACGTTTTAAAAAAATTCTTTAAAAAATCCAAGCTTGAAAAAAATCCACGTTTTAAAAAAATTCTTTAAAAAATCCAAGCTTGAAAAAAATCCACGTTTTAAAAAAATTCTTTAAAAAATCCAAGCTTGAAAAAAATCCACGTCTTGAAAAAATTCTTTAAAAAATCTACGCCTCGGAATCAGATAATCGTTGAAAAAATTCTTTAAAAAATCTACGCCTCGGAATCAGATAATCGTTGAAAAAATTCTTTAAAAAATCTACGCCTCGGAATCAGATAATCGTTGAAAAAATTCTTTAAAAAATCTACGCCTCGGAATCAGATAATCGTTGAAAAAATTCTTTAAAAAATCTACGCCTCGGAATAATATAATCGTTGAAAAAATTCTTTAAAAAATCTACGCCTCGGAATCAGATAATCGTTGAAAAAATTCTTTAAAAAATCTACGCCTCGGAATCAGATAATCGTTGAAAAAATACCTTTAAAAATCCACGCCTCGGAATCAGATAATCGTTGAAAAAATCCCTTTAAAAAATCCACGCCTCTGAATCAGATAATCGTTGAAAAAATACCTTTAAAAAATCCACGCCTCGGAATCAGATAATCGTTGAAAAAATACCTTTAAAAACCCCACGCCTCGGAATCAGATAATTTTTGAAAACTTCATCTAAATAATCCATGTCTCTGTATGGATGGATTTAATAACTAAATTTCCTTTTTTTCTTTTCAGAAAAACTCAATGAACGCGTACGCAGCCTGCTTAGCCAAAATGAAGAGCTTGAACGTAAATTGAAATGGAATCAAGAGCGTCTGAATGATTTGGCCAAGGAAAAGGGTGTTCTCTGGCTTGATTCAATGCTCAGTTATTGCAAGTATGAGTTAACCAAACGCGTTGCCACGTGTATAGATTATATAGGGAATTTTATGAAGTCTTGGTGTTTTACCAAGCCACGCTTTTTACTCTAAACAGAAACACTTTCAAATCAAACCCCAGCCCCCCACTCCATATGCATCTCAAACCAAAGCATGTTATTTTTAACTCGAAACAATGATAAGACACGATTACTAAAAACATATATCGGAGTACATTTAAAAATGTATTTCATTTTAATAGAAATTAAGTAGTTTTTAAGACATTTTTTCAAAAAATTGCTTCCTTGGTTGTTTATAAAACGTAGTTATCTATCTGTCTGCCCCCCTATTAGTATGGAATGTCCTGTACATATATCTTATTAGCATCGTAAGACAAACATAAGAATTAAGAATGAAGCTGATTTTTTCGTCGATAACAATTATCCTCCCTCCATCTTTGTAACAGAAAGGAGACGGAAGATTTCAAACGGCAGCTACATAGTGTACGGCTACAAAAGGCGAATTTGGAGGAGCAGCAACGAAATTCTCAACAAGATTTGGCTAGGTATAAAATTGCAATATTTTCGTTTTTTAAATTTAGAAATTTATTTTTCTTTATTTTATTTTTAGATGGAGATTTGAGGCCTTGAAATCACGTTGTTTACTATTGGATCGTGAACATCTATTGACGGAGCATAAAATTGATTTTAAACCCGTGCATGCATTTGATTTTCACATCACCGAAAAGGAACAAAGCGATGCAAGGCCACGTATTGTTAGTAGCCGTAGAAGTGCAACATTTGAGAATCTCAATCGTAAATCAATGACACCACAAAAAAAGGAGGCCACAATCAAAGATGAGAATGATAATTCCTTGGAACCACCAACACAGACGCCTACATCTATTAAAAAGGGAATTAAAGAAGAAGAGATTTCGGAAGTTAAAGAAGAGATTGATGAAAAACCAATAATCGTTGATAATAAATTATTAGAAGATAAGGAAAATGTGAAACCAACCTCGATGTCCGAAAATGCCTTGCAACCTTCCGCAAAATCATCCGTCTCTCCCACTAAAAAAAGTCCTTTGGGAAAATCTACATCATCATCTTCGTCGACGTCATGTTTAGTTACGGAAATCACAAGTACCCCACCGGCCCGTTCCATACTCACCAAACAACGTGATTTATTCTCCAAAGAACCATCGAAAATTGTTAAATTCTCCTCCAAAGAAGATTTGGTGCATAGTTTTACTCCCCAAACACCATCACCAAATGAATTGCTCACAGCCGGATTAACTCCAGTAGCCGCTGCCAAGACAGATGATAATAAATCTTCGTCATCATCGACATCATTTGCCACAACTCCAGCTGTCAAAAAGAACACCACCAGCAAAGCTGTTGTCAATCAAACTCGTGCAAAATCAAATATTGTCGTACGTCATGTTTTTGTAGGTTCTAAGCATGACAAATGAGAATATTTTTAGTAACTATTTTTTATTATTATTATTATTATTTTATGTTTTATCTTTTTAATAACGTATAATATTTTATTGGAAAATGTAACACTAACTACTATTGTCTATTTAATTTATGTGTAAACAATGCCCATTGTCCTGTCTTTTATTTACAATTCTTGCCAATTAAAAAAAACATTTTACGAAAATTAATTGCAAATTCTTTGACAAAAATTCCTTTTAAAAAATTTAAAATGTGTTTAAAAATCTCCGCCTAAGGTTTAGGTAATCGTTGACAAAAATTCCTTTAAAAATCCACTCCTAAAGACCTCATAATCATTGACAAAAATTCCTTTTAAGGTTTAAATAATCGTTGACAAAAATTCCTTTCAAAATTCACCCCTAAAGACCTCATAATCATTGACAAAAATTCCTTTAAAAATCCACACCTAAAGACATCATAATCATTGACAAAAATTCCTTTAAAAATCCAGACCTAAAGACCTCATAATCATTGACAAAAATTCCTTTAAAAATCCACACCTAAAGACCTCATAATGACAAAAATTTCTTTAAAAATCCACACCTAAAGACCTCATAATCATTGACAAAAATTCCTTTAAAAATCCACACCTAAAGACCTCATAATCATTGACAAAAATCCACGCCTATGGGTCTGAAAATGGTTGACAAAAATTCCTTTAAAAAATCAACGCCTAAGGGTCTGAAAATGGTTGACAAAAATTCCTTTAAAAAATCAACGCCTAAGGGTCTGAAAATCGTTGACAAAAATTCCTTTAAAAAATCCACGCCTAAGGGTCTGAAAATCGTTGACAAAAATTCCTTTAAAAAATTCACGCCTAAGAGTCTGAAAATCGTTGACAAAAATTCCTTTAAAAATCCACGCCTAACGGTCTTAAAATCTTTGACAAAAATTCCTTTAAAAATTCCAAGCCTAAGGGTCCGAAAATCTTTGACAAAAATTCCTTTAAAAAATCCACGCCTAAGGGCCAGATACCGGATGAAAAAATCGCTTTAAAAAATCCACTCTTTTGTGTCTTATAACCGTTGAAAATATTGCTCTCTCGCTCTAACACCTTCATATCGTTGTTGTTTTTGCCAAATGTCAAACATTCCTTGAAGTGCACGCCGATAATTTCAACAATCAGCGCCTTTGTATTGCCCATTGCAAAAAAGCAATCATCTGCGAAGAAATTTTTTAGCGCGGCAACAATGACAACAATAAAAAGCCTGAGAAGAAGAAGAAGAATACCGAGAAGACGACCCCTAAACAAAACCAAACACAACTCAAACTTTGTGACGCCGAAATCAAATTTCCAAATTTCAAATAGCCGCAAATCCATAATCCACCAACATGGAGGACGACTATTTCAATGTACCTCTGCAGGATGTTAAACGGGAGCTGAGGCGTGGCATTGTCGAGTGTCAAAAACGCGGTCTGCTGCACAGTGTCAAATGGCTGGCCGAAATGAACCACGGCCTGGCGGATATTGAACTGGATGGCGATAAATGTGATTTCAGTGATGCCGCTATGGACGGAATAACTCCCGCAGAATACGATAGCTACTATTTGGCCAAAAGCTATTTCGATGTACGGGAATATGATCGGGCGGCATATATGGTGAGAAATTGTGAATCGGCTGTGCCAAAATTTCTACACTATTATGCCACCTATATGGGTTTGGAGAAGAGGCGGCTGGATTCCACCACAGATCAATCGAATTTAAACGATTCGGGACATGTCAAAGACTTGGCTGAACTCTTGGCCACCCTGAGAGCTGAATATTCACGTGGACGTTTGGACGGCTATGGCATGTATTTGTACGGGGTCATCCTCAAAGCTTTGAATCTCAATCAGGCGGCACATCAGGTTTTGGTTCAGTCAATACGTTTGGCACCCATGTTATGGGCTTCATATGTGGAATTGGCACCCCTGGTCACCGAAAAGGAAAAACTGCAGACAATGCATTTTGGTGGCCATTGGATGCGTCACTTCTTCGTCGCTCATACATACATCGAAATGTATTTGAATGATGAAGGCCTGAAGGCATATGAAGAGCTGCAGGCAGCTGGTTTTCGTAAGTGTGTTTATGTGACATCACAGATGGCGTTGGCGTATCACAACAAGAGGGGTGGGTATTAAAATTGGCAATTATTTTGAATTAAATTTTCAAAAATATAAAAATTGTATTTTACAGATGTGGATAAGGCCATTGAAATCTTTCAAGAACTGCAAGAAGCGGATCCATATCGTCTCGACAACATGGATACATATTCGAATTTACTCTTTGTCAAGGAACTGAAAACGGAAATGGCACAATTGGCCCATAAAGCGGTGGGCATAAATAAATATCGTCCGGAAACGTGTTGTGTTATTGGTGAGTTGGTTGAGTTGGAGATTTGAAATTTGAGTATTTTATTTTATTTATTTTTAATTCTTATATAGGTAACTATTATAGCATACGCTGTGATCATCAAATGGCCATAATGTATTTTCAACGCGCCCTGAAATTGAATCCCAAATATCTGGCTGCCTGGACACTGATGGGCCATGAATTTATGGAATTGAAAAATACAAATGCCGCCATACAAAGTTATCGCAAGGCTGTGGGTAAGTTTGTGAGCTTATATTTACAAGGGACTCTCATTTAAAAAATCAAAACCCATATTTCGGATAGTGGTTGAAAAAAATTATTTAAAAAAATCAAAGCCTAGAGGTTAGATATTGGTTGAAAAAAATTATATAAAAAAAATCAAGGGCTAAGAGGTCGGATAGTGGTTGAAAAAATTATTTAAAAAAATCCACGTCTAAGAGGTCAGACAGTGGTTGAAAAAAATTATTTAAAAAATCCACGCCTAGGGGCCAGATAGTGGTTGTAAAAAAATTATTCAAAAATCCACGTCTGGTGGCCAGATATTGGTTGTAAAAAATTATTAAAAAATGCAGGTCTAGAGGTCAGAGAGTGGTTGAAACAAATTATTTAAAAAAAAATCAAAGCCTAGGGGTCAGCTAGTTGTTGAAAAAATTATTTAAAAAATCCAGTCTAGGGGGCAGATAGTGATTGAAAAAAATATTTAAAAAAATCAAAGCCTAGGGGTCAGTTAGTGGTTGAAAAAATTATTTAAAAAAATCAAAGCCTAGGGGTCAGATAGTGTTTGAAAAAAATATTTTAAAAAATCAAAGCCTAGGGGTCAAATAGTGTTTGAAAAAAAAATATTTAAAAAAATCCACGTCTAAGAGGTCAGATAGTGGTTAATTTTTTTTTTAAATCCACGCCTAGAGGTCGGATAGTGGTTGTAAAAAAAATTATTTAAAAAAATTCACGCCTAGAGGTCGGATAGTGGTTGAAAAAATTATTTAAAAAAATTCACGCCTATGGGGTCAGATATTGGTTGAAACAATTATTTAAAAAATCCACGCCAAGGGGTCAGATAGGGGTTGAAAAAATTATTTAAAAAAATTCACGCTTATGGTCCTTAAAAATATATTTTTAATTATTTTTTTTTTTTTTACTGTTCTCTTTCAGAGGTCAATAAACGTGATTATCGTGCCTGGTATGGCCTCGGCCAGGCTTATGAAATCTTAAAAATGCACTACTACAGTTTGTATTATTTCAAAATTGCACATCAGTTGCGACCCTATGATAGCCGTATGCTTGTGGCATTGGGCGAGACCTATGAAAAATTGGAGAAATGTGAAAATGCCATTAAATGCTATAGCAAAGCGTGTGATGTGGGTGATATTGAGGGTATTGCCATGTTCAAAATGGCAAATCTTCACGAGAAATTGGGTGAATTCGATTTGGCTGTCAATTGTTATATGTTGTATTGTGCCGATGAAAGGGCTGCAGCCGATAAACAGAGTCTCTATCATGGCTATATGACATTGGCCAATTATTATGAGAGTAAGGGGGAATATGATCGGGCCTCACATTATGCCTATAAGTGTTTGGAGTCTGATGATGTGAGTAAAACAAATAAATGTATTTCGACATATTATTAATTGGTTTCTTCTTTATTGTAGCGCAAATCGGAAGCCAAATCCCTACTGAAAACCATTGAAAATAAACGCAATGGCAAGGTCATTTCTCTGGGCACATTACCCACCAGTTCAACGGCAACTGTGGCAAATGCCGACACCTCTTCGGATGATGATATGGACATGGAATTAAGTGATTATAAACTATCAGTACATAATTTTTTGTGGACAAGTAATCGTGGTGGTGCCGGGGCGGGTATGGGTACCAGTGCTGGTGCTGCTGCTACCAGCAGTATGAAATCAAGTGTAAATGATTTGGCAGCAACCTCCACCAAATCATCACTGGGTGGTGGTATACAGAAACACTCTTCATCCGTGGCCACCGATGAAATGTCACTAAGTGAAAGTGATATCAATACGAACACCTCAATGCCTGCCACAAATACACCATCATCAAACCCGTCGTCGTCTATGCCACGACGAACATCTAGTTCGGGTACACAACCGGCCATTGCAACCACATCACATGTCGGCGAACAGGATGAAGATACTCAATCCATGGAAATGTCATCAATTTCAATAGACTGAAATATCGCATAGGCTAGGCCATAGAGTCTATTTTGTTTGTGTGTGTTCTACAAAAGGTTCCTTACACCAATTAACCTCCTCCAAACCTTCATAATTTCAATTGACTTTAAATGTTACCAATATTTCGGCGTATAAAAACTATTTGAAAATAGTTTTATAAACTATTTTCGTTTGAGATTTACAAAATAATATAGTAGTTCAAGAATGGATGTTGTTATAATTTAAGTCGTAAGTTTGTTTTTTAAGCATCTTTAGTTAGTTGATTTAAATTTATTTTCCCCTTTCTCCCCAAAAAATTGTAATTATTAGAATTTTAAATATTTTTCTATTCCTTTTTCTGTTTCTTTTTTTATTTTTTACTTTCTTTTAATGTGTTCAAATCACAAAAACAAAACTAAAAACAGATCAAATACAAATCTTAGTGAACTCTTCTGAATTTTATTGTTTCAACTATAAAGCGGTGTGATTAAGCAAGAAAAGCCGTTTTCAAAATTATCTTCAAGATTGAAAATAGATTTGGAATACAAACTTGCTAAGGTAAGATTTATGTAAATTTTTGGGAACAAATTAATTTAACTGGCGTGGAATTTTTAAAAATATTTTTTAAAGGTATTACAAAAGCCGTGGATTTTTTAAAAATATTTTTTCAAGGTATTACAGATGGAAATAGATGGCAACCCTCTTTTGTGCAACATGAATGCTGTTGTAACTTCTTTTTATACCCTTCACCACACTGTGGTACAGGGTATTATGTCTTTGTGCATATGTGTGTAACAGGCAAAAGGAAACGAGATAGACACAGGGTTCCTTTCGAGAATATGCATAGAATCATTTTCTGAGTCTATTTATAAATGTGCGTCCGTCTGTCAGTCTGTAGATGTTAAATTGTAAACAAAGTACAGGTCGCATTTATTATCCGATTTGGATGAAATTTGACACAAGTCACTTATTTGGCCCAACGACAAACCCTATTGAAATTGGGAAAAATCGGTTCAGATTTAGATATAGCTCCCATATGTATTTTCGTCCGATTTAAGGTAAATGGGGCACCAAAGTCCCTGTATATCTTTCGATTTGAACGAAATTTGGCATAGAGTACTGACTTAGGTCCAGAATGATGTGTGCTAAATTTCGTGAAAATCGGTACAGATATAGATATAGCTCCTATATATATTTTCGTCCGATTTAAGGTAAATGGTGCACCAAAGTTCCTATATATCTTTCGATTTGCACGAAATTTGGCACAGCGTAATGAATTAGGCCTAGAATGATGTGTGATAAGTTTCCTGTAAATCGGCTCAGATTTAGATATAGCTCCCATATATATTTTCGTCCGATTTAAGGTAAATGGTGCACCAAAGTCCCTATATATCTTTCGATTTGCACGAAATTTTTCGCAGCGTAATGAATTAGGTCTAGAATGAAGTGTGTTAAGTTTCCTGAAAATCGGTTCAGATTTAGATATAGCTCCCATATATATTTCGTCCGATTTAATGCACAAAAGTCCCTTAATATCTTTCGATTTGCACGAAATTTAGCGCAGCGTAATGTATTAGGTCTAGAATGATGTGTGTTAAGTTTCGTGAAAATCGGTTCAGATTTAGATATAGCACAAATGTCCCTTAATATCTTTCGATTTGCACGAAATTTAGCACAGCGTAATGAATTAGGTCTAGAATGTGTGTTAAGTTTCGTGAAAATCGGATCAGATTTAGATATAGCTCCCATATATATTTTCGTCCGATTTAAGGTAAATGGTGTACCAAAGTCCCTTAATATCGAAATTTGGCGAAGCGTAATGAATTAGGTCTAGAATGATGTGTGTTAAGTTTCCTGAAATCGGTTCAGATTTAGATATAGCTTCTATATCTGACAAAATGAAAAATTTAGTATCGGGTGCAGAATGACATGTTTATGGATCCAATTTCATTTTACTGGTCCTTTAAAAATGCGACGTCTGTTAGGGTTCATCTGTGGAATATACCCAAAGTGGTGAAGGGTATCATATAGTCGGTCCCGTCCGACTTTAGTGGTTTTCTTTTGTGTTTAGTCTCACAGTTGATTTCGTTGTGTACAGAAGCATAAAACACTACTTTTAATTTCAATAAAACAAGGTTTTATCAGGTTATGGACCCAGTTTACCCAACACTGGCAATTTTTATTAAAAATTTAAAGTTAAGTGAAAAGGAGAGATAAATGAGTGCACCAATTCTTCAAATAGATAAGTTGGACGAGAACAATTATGACCTGTGATCAGTTCAGTCCAACAAAGAAGGATGGCAACGAATCGGCAATAGCCAAATGGGAAGCCAAAGACGAAAAGGACCTATCGTCTATTTTCCTGGAAGTTAAACCGACACAGTTGGGTTATATAAGAAATGCGAGAACTTCACATGAAGCCTGGAAAAAGCTAGTGGAGGTCTACATGCCGAAGAGTCCGATTCAAAAAGTTTCCTTTTAAAAGAAGTTGCTACATTTGAAGATGGCGTCGAATGGTAATGTGGTGCAACATTTGAACGAGTTTTCGGAAGTGTACTAGAAATTGCATGAAACCGGTATAGAGATTAAGGTGGAGCATTCTGACCATTATGTCTGACCATCATGTCCAGCCTTCCTGAGGAATTTGATAATTTTGTGATCGCAATGGAAACGCGCGATGATCTTCCTAGTTTGTCATCTCTAAGACAAAAACTTTTAGAGGAGGGAAAGAGAAGACGAGAAAAAAATGAAGAAATAGCCAATCTGAAGGTATTCGTCGCAAAACCTGCAAATTCTAGAACGGACAAGAAAAAACAGCGGCGCGACGTCTCATATGTGCAACTTCAACGTACACAAAGAGAGAATTGCGCTTGCGGGTGACAAGTACATCAACGCTATTGGTAAGAGTGACGTGCACATGTATGCCAACGATTTTAAAATTAAAATTAAACTTCAACGTTTGATGTTTTGTACTCGTCGGAGTTGTAAGCTAATTTAAATCGGTTAACAAGGCTGTTGGCAGAGGTTTAACCGTTACTTTTGATGAAAAGAGAACCTCAGTGAAGAGTCTGGGAATAAATCCAAATTCGATGCTAAAGGCAGACGTTATGTAATAGTTGGATATTCATCGACACCTAAGGCATGTATGATGCGGAAAAAACAAAGTAATCGAATGCCGGGATGTGCTATTTGATGAAAATCGTTTTGGTAAATACAGTGAGACATCTGATGATGAAGGATCTTTGATTATATTCTTCAAAACAAAATTGAAGCCGATGGCAATGAAAGAGTCACAGACAATAATTTACATCGAAGTCAAACATATGTTGCTGGAAATAACTTGAGGATGAAACTCAAGCTGCAGAATGTTCCGAGGATGATATGAGTGATTTCGAAGGGTTCGAAACAGCTGAAAATGAAAGTGAGTCTAGAGATACGGGAATGGGTGCTGCACAGGATATGCCGAAGAAAGTTGGTGCAGGTAGACCTAGAATTATACGCAAGGGAAAGCCTTGTCGTCCACGAAAGCAACCTAATGATGTTCTATGTCATGCTGTTGATGAAAATATTCCAAATACGATGGAGCAGGCAATAGCTAGTAATAATGGAGACAAATGGCTAAAGGCCATAATGGAAGTTGAATATCATACTCTTTGCAAGAATAAGACCTGGTCGCTGCTAGATCTTCCAGGAGGACAAAAAGCTATATATGTGGGTCTATGCCCATAAAGTGGAATGTAAAGGGTGAAATTGAGAGATATAAGGCTCGCCTAATAGCCAAAGGCTGTCACCAACGATACGGAATAGATTTCAACAAAATATATTCACTTGTCGCTCGTTACTCTACAATTCGTATTTTATTTGTCACTGGATGTGAAAGAATGAATGTTTCTACATCAAATCGATGTCAGTACGGAATATTTGAACAGTGAACTGCATGATAATGTATACATGAAGCAGCCACCGAATTTTGAGGAAAATAGTTCACCGAACAAAGTTCTACGTCTCCATAAGGCTATTTATGGACTGAAACAAAGCGGACGGGAGTGGAACTCTAAACTTGATGCCACATTGCGTAAGATGAATTTCAAACCATGTGATAATGAACCTTGTCTCTACAAAGGCATGAGGAGAAACAAACTAATGTTGATCGCCGTTTACGTAGATGACAGTATTATTGGATGCAAAGACAAATTGGTTGTTTTGAAGATCAAAAATAATTTGCCAAGTGAGTTCGATGTCAGCGATAAGGGGCAGTTAGGTGAATCGGTTATGATCAAACTAGGGCAAAGCCAATATATTCGTGGTCTATTACAACAATATGGAATAGAAGATTGTAAAACACATCAAGTACCATTGGAACTCGGTTATAAGGTAAATTGGAATGATTATGACCAACGTGTAGATCAAACCGAGTATCAATTCCTCGTTGGAGCCCTAATATATTTAGCAACGTCTACGAGACCTGACATCTTGCTTCAGTGTCGAAATTGGTTCAGAAAAATGCTGACCCTCGAAAGGCAGATATGGTTGGTCTGAAAAATATTCTGAGATACTTGGCAGGATTGGACGGGGATTTTTTAATATATTTTTTAAGGTTTATCCAAAGGCGTGGATTTTTAAAAGTATTTTTATTTTCATTTATTTACAATAACATAAAAAAGTATAAAAAATATTTAACATTTGTAATTGTTATCTCTTATATTATACACTGGGGGTTTAATCCCCCTTCCTCCTACAATTTAACTACTACAGTGCCTTTTTGATGCGCACCCATAAACTGAATAAAAATAATACCATTAAAGCCACAATCCATATACACAAGGCCATTACATCCTGCCCATAAAGATCACCAAACATTCCAAAATCCTTAAGAAACTTCTTCGGCTGTCGATAATAACAAAAATCAAGATTACACTCCAGTTCCGGACGGTCATAGGCATATAATGCGCGCAGCAAGCCCTCTATGGTATAGCGGAAAAATGAAATATCACAAAGTATTTTTAAATACGAGGCCACTTCGAAAATGCGTATAAAGAAACCGGAGAAGATTAACAAGGGTATGGTGAGACATGGTACCAGGAAAACACCCATCTACCGAAGAAAAAGGAGAAGAATTGGAATTTAATATTTAAACTGTAAGAATTATTTAATTTGCTGCTTACCTGCATTTGAAACATTGAACCACACACAAGGCCCATAAAGTGTCCAATCATCCCCGTCAGCAGACACATACCCCAAAACATAACGGCCCGACCCAGTTCCATGGGTTGGCCCGTCATAAAGTATGCAATGCATGTCAACAATGTTGGACACACAAATTGCAAGGGTAAATCGGATATAATTTTTGCTATATAATAGGATTTGATGGAATACCAGCCATTCAGGTATTCCCTTATGAACACCGCACATTCCTGGGGACAGAGGAATATCGAGGGCATGGCATTGCCAAAGAAGACAAACATGACAACGAAAAATATACACGAGGCATTTGTGAGGGTCTTGGCTCCATCATTGCCAATCTGCCAGAATACCACACCCAACAGAATGGCCACAGCAATGTGCATAATTATCCGAAGACGCACCGAGAGCTAGAGGTTGGAAAGAGGTTAACTATTATTTGTAAACTTTTCTATATTTTTCCATACCATATTCCGATAGGTTGAGGTGGTGGATCTTTTCAGTAAGACCATAAATTGTCTGCAAACAGATACCCTTTCCTTGGGTCGTATACCCTCGGCTTCCAGAGAAATTGTGCTAAGCATATCGACAGTTGTGTGGAGGGGTGCTGCTGGTGTAGAATTTGAGTCTTTTAAAAGGGCGGCTGGAAGGAAAGGCAACAAATTCTATAAATTTGGATTTTGTATTTCCTCTCAAAAACCATTATTTACCCGATTCCGAATTTCCATTATAATTTGCCATTTTCCTGTCCGCATTGTGTTTCAATCTATTTTCATAGATAAGTTTCGATAGTAAAGGATTTGTAAAATCACTGCTGACCTCCAACACTAAAAAAATCGAAAACAATTTTTTTCAAATAAAGAAAGAAAATCTCCAAATTCCCTTACCATAATCAGCTGGATTATAATATTGTGGACATTCGAAACCGGATTTTTTAAACTGCTCCAACATGCCGTCCTGTGCCCCAGAATACAGAATACAACCCTTTGACACCACCATAATATCATCGAATAATTTCATCAATCTAGAACTTGGCTGATGGACCACACACACAATGACCCGACCATCTCGGGCCAATTTACGCAGATAGGATATAATTTGATAGGATGCAACACTGTCCAGACCACTGGTCGGTTCATCGAAGAACATAATGGGAGGATTTGTGACCATTTCAACGCCAATTGATAAACGTTTATATTCACCGCCCGATAGATTTTGTACCAAGGTGTGACGACTGTGGGTGAGGTTTAACATTTCCAAAATGTTGTTGATCTGGAAGAAAGGAGAATTAAAAAAAATATTTTTCCAAGGATTTTTTAAAAATATTTTTTTTCAGGGCCAATAAACAGTCGTGGATTAGGGGATAATAGATACCAAGCAACGGCTCTGATTGACTTTAACATGACGAAGTCCAGGCTTATCATGGTCCCTCTTTCATCTCAATTGTGGACACTGACCTCCCCGTGGTGTCACCTGGGGTAACTGTTTTCATCACCCGTTGAAATGTGCCGCGAGTTCAACCATAAGAACTATAAAAAAATGGGTTGAGGCCTCGGGTTAGTTGCCCACACTCGGAAAACCCCTCCTACTATGAAAAAGCAAACCAAACCCGCCTAATGTTGAAGACCCCGCAAACGTATTAAGGGCCACGATCTGCGAATCTGCACTTGGAATGTGCGCACGTTGTACAGAACAGGCGCAGTTCTCGCTTTTGCGGATGTACTCAAGAAGTAAAAAGACGAAAGGCACAGGTGTAAGTAAATCAGACTATTACGGACTGTATTATAGCTGCCTGCCATGAACCGAGACATGAATTTGGCTGCGGATTTATGGTCAACAGGAGTATAAAAGACCTCGTTTCAAGATTCACCACAGTAGATGAGCGAATTGCTATAATCCACATAAAAACGAAGTTCTTCTACATCAGTCTTATTTGCGCCTATGCTTCGACCGAAGACAAAGATGAGCAGACCAAAGGCATTTTTTACGAGCGCCTAGAAACTGCATATGATCGCTGCCCTGGCCATGACATTAAAATTCTGCTAGAGAGATTTTAATGCAAAAATTGGAAGGGAAAATATTTTTGGTACCAACATCCGACAACGATGTGTAAAAGACTTCCTCTAGAGGTCGTCTATAAAAACTCCCTCTAGAGCTCCTCTATAAAGACTCCCCCTAGAGGTCGTATGAAAAAGACTCCCTTTAAAGGTCGGCTGTGAAAAAGTCTCCTTCTTGAGCTCCTCTGTAAAAACTCACATTAAAGATCGTTTACAAAGACTTCCTCTAGAGCTCGTCTATGAAAAGGACTCACTCTAGAGCTCGCCAATGCAAAAGACTCCCTCTAGATCTCGTCTATGAAAAAGACTCTTCCTAAAGCAGGTCTATGAAAAAGGGCTCTCATCTAGAGTTCGTCTATGAAAAATACTTCCTCTATGCTCGGAAACTCGACGTCGAAAAACTGGAAAAACACTACAGGTAGCCGAGGCCTACTCCGCTCAACTTACCCACCTGATTTACGAAAGCACTTCTTGTCCCGATAATCGTATAGAAGCACAATGGCAAAGAATTGCACTCTCCCTACAAACTGCGACAAAAGCAACACTTGGGTACCAAAAACCACCATCAAGAAATCCGTGGTACGATAAGGAGTCTCGTAATATGAAAAACGCAGCGTATAGGTCAACCCTGCAGACAGTAGCAACACGTATTGTGATGGGGAATTATCGGGTGAAAAGGAGAGAGGAGAAACGTGTTTTTAGAAAGAACAAGATAAACGTGAGCGGGAGCAAATCGAGATGTACAGGAGTCAGAATGAAGTCCGGAAATTTTACCAACGAGTAAAACACCAAACCGAAGGCTTTGGTGCAGGCACATCCTCCCGTGGAGATGAAGAAGGAAACCTGGTGACAGACACAGACAGCGTGCTGAGGATCTAGCCATGATGAGGTCAGAATAGCAATCAATCGGGTGAAGAATAATAAAGCAACAGGTGCCGATGGTTTAAAAGCCGAACTATTCAATGATAGTGGCTAGATGCTGGTCAGGAGCATGTACCAGCCGATAAGTACAATTTGGCTAGAGGAAAGTATGCCCAATGATTGGAACCTTAGCATCAAAAAAGGAGACAAGACGATATGTGCCAACTATAGAGGAATAAGTCTCCTTCCCATCGCATATAAAGTTTTATCCAGCGTGCTGTGTGAACGACTGAAGCCAATGGTCAATGACATTATTGGACCATACCAATGCGGCTTCAGACCTGACAAGTCCACCATTGACCAGATTTTCACTCTGCGCCAAATCCTGGAAAAAATTCACGAACGACACATTCCACCTATTCGTCGACTATAAAGCCCCATTCGATAGCCCTTTCCGTTCAGAGGTGTTTAAAGCCATGTCAACGTTCGGCATTCCTGCAAAATTAATACGGCTATGAAGAATAACTTTAACTGGCACAAGATCAGCAATTAAGGTCGGAAAGGACATATCTGAGCCCTTCTATACCGAACGAGGATTCAGACAAGGTGACAGTTTGTGGTGTGACCTGTTCAACATCCTGCTGGAAAAGGTCATACGAGAGGCAAACAGAAATGGCACTCTGTACACCAAACAACACATGTTACTTGCCTACGCCGATGACATCGATATAATGGGTCGAACATTGAGAGCGGTAACAACCACCTTTGAACAAATTGAGAAGGAATCTGCCAAAGTGGGTCTGGCAGTAAACGGCGAGAAGACCAAGCTGATGGTATCAAAGCGCAAATACACCATGTACCAGATTTTCACTCTGCGACAAATCCTGGAAAAAATTCACGAACGACACATTCCACCTATTCGTCGACTATAAAGCCCCATTCGATAGCCCTTTCCGTTCAGAGGTGTTTAAAGCCATGTCTACGTTCGGCATTCCTGCAAAATTAATACGGCTATGAAGGATAACTTTAACTGGCACAAGATCAGCAATTAAGGTCGGAAAAGACATATCTGAGCCCTTCTATACCGAACGAGGATTCAGACAAGGTGACAGTTTGTGGTGTGACCTGTTCAACATCCTGCTGGAAAAGGTCATACGAGAGGCAAACAGAAATGGCACTCTGTACACCAAACAACACATGTTACTTGCCTACGCCGATGACATCGATATAATGGGTCGAACATTGAGAGCGGTAACAACCACCTTTGAACAAATTGAGAAGGAATCTGCCAAAGTGGGTCTGGCAGTGAACGGCGAGAAGACCAAGCTGATGGTATCAAAGCGCAAAACATCCAGTAGACTCGTACCAACTGTGGAACTTGAGAACTACAGCTTCGAGGTAGTTAACGATTTTATATACCTTGGTACCGCCATAAATAAAACGAATGACATCAGTTTTGAAATTCGGAGAAGGATTGTGATGGCCAACAGATGCTACTATGGTCTAAGTAAGCAGTTTAGAAATAAGGTCACCTCCCGCCAGACCAAACTCACACTTTACAAGACGTTGATACTACCCGTGCTGTTATATGGATCTGAAGCATGGGTACTTGCGCAAGCAGATGATGTAGCTGTTAAATAGTTTGAGAGAAAAATTCTCCGGGCCGAAATTCTATGGCCCGATCTGCGTTGACGATGAATATTGCCGTCGAATGAACCATGAGCTGTACCAGCTATTCTCGGACATCGACATTGTTAGACGTATTGAGATGCAGCGACTTCGGTGGCTAGGCCATGTTGTGCGAATGAATGAACGAGAATGCCCCAGCTCAAAAGACATATAAAAGCGAGCCTACTGATGGTTCCCATCGAAGGGGAAGGCCACGAATTAGATGGAAAGACCAAGTAGAAAACAACATCTTGGAACGTGGCCTTTCAAATTGGAGGAGATGCGCACAAGACCGACGCGTTTGGAAATCTTTTTTAAACTCGGCTTATGGAACAACCGTTCTGTCATAAGCCAGCTAAGTAAGTAAGAAGTCTACAGGCCATGCAAACATATTTTTAAAAAATCCACGCCTGTCTATAGGCCTTAGGTTCAGGGTAAAATGTCGCATATTTAAGAATTTATTGTCATTACTTACAATTTTATCCTTCTCTTGTATTGTTGTCTCTGCAGGTAATTTCAAATCCGTCGAAACTCTCAGTGTCTCCTGAACTGTTAATAGATCCAACATTGCAAAATTTTGCGGAATATATGATGACATTTTACGAAATTCGACAATATTTCGTGGTCTGCCATTCAATTCAATATTTCCCGTTACACCAGAAGCCCTAGAAATTTACGGGTTTTAAAAAATCGATATAGAATAAAATCGTGGAAGCTCCTTACTTACTTGAAACCGGAGAGAGCATTTAACAGTGATGTTTTACCAGCACCCGATGGACCCAATATGGCGGTGAGCCGGCCCGATTTAAATTCACCACAAGCATCATTGAGTATTTGATTTGTCACCGATTTACCTGGAAGGAATTTTGAAGGTAAGTTAATTTTTTTTCAAGGCCTATAAATTTTATGACAGATACAGACATAAATTAGGGTGGCGAATATGTTAATGATATTCATCGCCATATTTAATATTTAGATGCTATATTTGTCGGCAACACCGACAGGCAAATACATTTTTACTAATTTTTATACCCTACACAACTATGTTGTCAGGGTATTATAGCTTTGTGCAGCCCCAAATGTTTGTAACGCCGCTGTGTCGATCTAGACATGTGTGTCCGTCCGTCCGTCTGTCCATTATAATTTGTAAACACGATACAGGCCACAGTTATGGACCAATCTTTACGAAATTTTGCATGTAGGATGGGTTCTGGCCAATGAAGACCCCTATTGTTTTTGGAAAATATCGGTTAATATTTAGGGGATGAAAGGGACCAATAACATTATTTTTGTCGGTTTTTCTGGTCGCTCCAGAGGCCGCAAATTTGGCCCAAACACCGCGAATTTTTGCATGGAGAAGGGGAACGGCCCAGAGAATAAGCATGCATGTTTTGATAAAGATCGGTCAATATTTAGCGGGTCAAATGGACCCTGACTTTTGTGTGAAAAATGACAAAATTTGTATTCTATGGCATATATATTTACTCTTGGAGGATGTAGACCCGAGGAGTTGATAGCATATCCAAGAGGAGTGGTTGGCCTTTAAATTGATACCAAATATAGTGATGTATCTACTTAGATGTGGAAGTTACAGTCTAATATTTACAGGTGCTTACGTATTCAGATATTATTTAGTAACCCATTACCACATTAGAGGGGGAAATATCGCGCTGATGGCTTTGAAATTTTCATGAAGTTCCAGTTATGGTCAAGAACAACGCCTACAATTTTCGGTGATGATCAGATTAAAATTTTGGGATGAAATGGACCGAAAACTTAATTTTTTGTGTGTTTTCGAGTCGAGTATAATCCGAAAATCACAACACAACCCACCGTGAAGGTAATCTGGACAAGTAATTAGAAGGACTGTACTGAATATTCGAAAAAAGTAAGGAAGAGGTGTTGTTGACCTCTAATCGGACAAGAGGGGGCAAATATCACGAAATATTACTCAGACTCGGAATAAACATCCTCAGAAAGTTAGAGTTCGCGGTAGTTGTGTAGGGTATCGTATGGTCGGCCGCGTCCGACTATACTGCTCCGCTCACTGGTTATATATATGTATATTGTATAAACCTAGTCGGATCGATTGTGAATCATCATCCTGCCAAAAATTTCGAGGGAAAAATGCATTGTAAACCTAATCAAGTACAATTAAAGAGATTATTCTGTTCGATTTGTGAATTTGGCTTATCGGCCAATATACTTCGATTTCAAAACCCTAAGTTCAGGCTATTAATCTTATCGGTGGATTTAATGCGGCGATTATAGAGATTATAGTCATAAATTTTGTCCCAACTATCTGCCTGATAGAAATAACCCACAAATAGCTTTTTTTAGTATCCGAAAAGGAGATATTTAAAGCTTATTATGTTCGGCGGGACGGATCGGACTGCCCTCTACACCATAAGGGGGATATTTAAAATACCCTAAATTGATTGGGATTTTTATGCAGGATAGCCACTCCTATGGTAAATCCATGGTAAATTGCTGTCGAAAGAAAACGAAATATTAAACCAGTGAGCGGAGCAGTATAGTCGGACGGGGCCGACCATAGGATACCCTACACAACTACCACGGAACTCAAAATTTTTGCGGATGTTTATTCCGAGCCTGGGCAATATTTCGTGATATTTTCCCCCTCTTGCCCGATTAGAGGTAAACAGCACCTCACAGTGACATATTTTCCGAATACTTCGAGTATTAAGTACAGCTATTGTCCAGATTCCTTCGGCTTTCATTTGAGGTCTATAGATCGACTCGAAAATAACACAAAAAATTAAGTTTTCGGTCCACTTCATTCCAAAATTATTATCTGAACATCACCGAAAATTATAGGCGTTGTCCGTGACCATAACTGGAACCTCATGGAATAATAATATATTGATGTTCGTCTTTCAATGTGGCCTAAAGATCGACACGAAAAAAACACAAAAAATTAAGTTTTCGGTCCACTTCATTCCAAAATTATTATCTGATCATCACCGAAAATTATAGGCGTTGTCCTTGACCATAACTGGAACCTCATGGAACATTTCAAAGCGATCAGCGCTATATTTCCGCCCTCCAGTATGGTAATGGGTTACTAAATAATATACGTATACGGAGATACCTGTAAATATTTGGGTGTAACTCCCACATCCGAGCACATACAACAATATAATTGGTATTAATTTAAAGGTCAACCACTCCTCTTGGATATAAAATCAACTTCGCGGGTCTATGTCCATCAGGGACAAATATATACGCTATAGAATAAAAATTTTGTAATTTTTCACACAAAAGTCAGGGTCCATTTGACCCGCTAAATATTGACCGATCTTTATGAAAACAGGCATGCTTATTCTTTGGCCCGATCCACTACTCCATGCAAAATTTCAAGATGTTCGAGCCAATATTGCGGCCTCTGGAGCCACCAGAAAAACCGACAAAAATTTAGTATTTGGTCCATTTCAACCCCTAAATATTAACAGATCTTTCCCAAAAACAATAGAGGTCTTCATTGGCCAGAACCCATCCTACATGCAAAATTTCGTGAAGATTGGTCCATAACTGTGGCCTGTATCGTGTTTACAAATTATAATGGACAGACGGACGGACGGACACACATGTCTAGATCAACTCAGCTAGTCGAGATATGACGATCGGTATACTTAAAGGTGGGTCTACGACCAATATTTCGCGGCGTTACAAACATTTGGGGCTGCACAAAGCTATAATACCCTGACAACATAGTTGTGTAGGGTATAACTACAGGTGTTCATGATGGGACCCTGAAAACCACGTTATATGTAGACTATAGAATAGTGTGGACCGAAAATGGTCAGTTTTACAAAAAGATTTGACACTCAATTTTTTAAAAATATTTTTTTTTTAAATGAGAACCCAAAATACCAAACTACAGCCCAAAATATCGTAATTCGGAATGTACCTTAATATGGAGAACATCCCAAAAAGTGGACCAGTATTGATAATTTTTGTTAGTGAGATTTTCTAGCCAATGCTAATCCCTAATACTAAATTTTAGCCAATTCGATTGCAAAATGTGCCCGAAATGCAAAAACGTCGAATATTCGGAGGTACCTTTATGTGAAGAGACCATCCTAAAAAGTGGGCCGATATGGATAATTTTTGTTGGGGGGATTTTCTACCCAATGTTAATTTCAAATACTAAAATACAGTCCATTCGGTTGAAAATTTTGGACAAAATATCGAAATTGGGAAGTTACCTTTATATGGGCACTACCCTGAAACTTGGACCTATATATATATAATTTTTGTTAGACAATTTTTATCCTCAATGAGAATTTCAAATATTAATTTCAGTCAATTCTGTTGAAAAAAGTGACCAAAATTCGGAAATCAGGGAGGTATCTTTATATGGGGGCTACTTCGATAGTTGGACCAATATTAATAATTTTTGGTAGGAAGATTTACTACCCAATAAGAATACTAAATCCCAAATAACAGCCCATTCGATTGAAAAACTAGACCAAACTTCTCAAAATACCGAAATTCGAAAGGTACCGTTATATGGAAGCCATCCTATAATGTGGACCAATAATGATAATTTTTGTTAAAGAGATCTATTACCTAATGCTAATTCCAAATACCACATTTCATCCAATTTGATTGAAAAGCGTAATCAAGCTCCCCAAAATTCCGAAATTCGGAGGGTATCTTTATATGTTGACCACCCTAAAATATGAACCAAATTTCATAATTTTTGGTAAAACGATTTTATACCCAATGAGAACTCTAAATACCAAATTACAGCCCATTCGGTTGAAAAACGTGCGAAAACCCCTGAGTATTGAGGGTACCGTTATATGCGTGCTACCCTGAAACATGGATCAATATTATACAGTATTGATAATTTTTGTTAGTGAGATTTTCTAGCCAATGCTAAATGCCAAATACTAAATTTTAGGCAATTTGATAGCAAAATGTGCCCTAAATGCAAAAACATCGAATATTCGGAGGTACCTTTATATGAAGGGACCATCCTAAAAAGTGGACCGATGTGGATAATTTTTGTTGGGGGGATTTTCTACCCAATGCTAATTTCAAATACTAAAATACAGTCCATGCGGTTGAAAATTTTGGACAAAATCCCCAAAATATCGAAATACGGAAGGTACCCTTGTATGGACAGTGCACCAAAATATTGACCAATATTGATAATTGTTGGTAGGAAGATTTACTACCCAATGAGCACCCCAAATACCAAATTACAGTCAATTCGCTTGAAAAACGGGTCCAGACTCTTCAAAATACCGAAATTCGGAGGGTATCTATATATGGTGACTACCCTAAAATATGAACCAATTTAAAAAAAAAACGATTTTATATCCAATGAGAATCCTAAATACCAAATAACAGGACATTCGATTGAAAAAGTGCGAAAATGCTGAATATTTGGGGGTACCGCTATATGGGGGCTGCAGAGAAATTTGGACCTATATTGATTATTTTGTATTTCCTAGCCAATGAGAGTCCAAAATACCAAATCACAGCCAGGTTGGCAGAAAAACTTGACCCAAATTCTGAAATTGGGGAGGTAACTTTATTTGGGGGCTACCCAAAAATAGGCCCCTTTTAGATAAATTTTGGTAGGAAAATTTATTACACTATGAAAACTCAAAATAACAAATTGCAGCTAATTAGGTATTTCAAAATACGGAATATTAGGGGGTACCCCTTACATTGGCGTCTTCTATACCAAAACCTGTTATATCCCATTTTTAATAACTAACATCCTTCGAGCTTGCAATCTTCGCTTTAAATTGTTTCTGATCTTCAGCTAGTCCACAGAGACTCTCTGACCTTCAGCTCGCCTAAGACTGGCTAAGGCTCAGAAAACCTAAATTTTTTTACAGATTCCCTGCCCCTTTCCTTTGCCTATGAAGAATCTATATTGATGCTCTGAATTATGGTTCCTCCTAGAGACTACCAGAACTTAG